ATGCCAACGAAAAAGAGTCGTTTTGGGACCGCGGGAAGGCAGAGCTATGTAGACCCCCACATGTGGATGTGTACATCAGGCGCGTATCTGTACCGTTGTTGACCATAGACTAAAGCAGGATTTGTTCTTCGGAACCGTAGACGCTCATAATAATAGTAATCATCTCTGTGAGGGCCTCGTAGACAACTAGCGGCTGCTTAGAGCCATCCTTAGAATGCCCCTCACGTACACTAGACGATGACGGTTTCTTCGATTGTCTGCCTCTGTCGCCACCGAAGCAGTCAACCCAAACCGACCTGGGTTCTAACTGTGCTTTTTGTAGGGTACACTACTGTTTAAGTCCTAGAGCACGCGTAGCATGAAGGGTCCTTCAGTCACCCTCGCTCGCTGATGCCCTCTATGGAGGTTACTAAAAATCTACGTTAGCCCTTTTTAGGGACGTCCCAAATGAACCAATTGAACAAACAAGAGGAGCACCAGTAGCCTTACGCTAGGACGCGTGGGAAGTCCGGCACTGAACAACAACAACAACAACGATGCCAAGTTCTTGTTGGCAACAAGTAAAGTTGACATCTAGATGGTACGTTCTTCCTATTCCATTTTTTCTCCCTCTCGCGTATTTTTAATTTCCGCGCTCTTTTTCAGGGCCGATGAAAGATAACACATCCGTATACAATTCGACCGTATTATCAGGCGAAATAACTGGCCCAAACAAGGTAAAATAGAAGGCGGCAAATCGTGCTGTTCGTCGCCGTTCCTGTATTGGCAGATGAATCTGGACACAGTCGTGCATGTTAATCCCCGACAGACACAAAATAAATCCAAGTAAAAAATATATCACCTGCTCATGAAGCTTAGAAACAATTGTTAATATTAACACATAAATGCACTTGCTCATCCATAATAGGAACGTTAAGGGCACAAGCTCTACCATTAACTCATGATAAAGAAATGACTTGTATTTTAGTTGAATATTAAAACAGGACAAGTAATCCGAAGTACTCGTATCTCAATCAAAACTCTAACTTCAACTATCTATGCACTTACTATAAAGCCATCGGTATCAAAGTCTAAGGTCGTCTCATCTACAAGTTCCTGGTTAATTCCTATTTTTATGATCGAATGAGACCATATGTACAAAAAAAGACTCAAGTATTGAACTTTTTGATTGTTCCACGCCAAGATAAAACGCATCTTTTAAGGTAAACGCATTTAAAAAATCCAAAATTGGTTGAATAGCTTGCTTGGTATAGCTTGACCTAGAACATATATTCAGTTAATTCAAAATTTTTTGCTGTCCCGGCGAAAGCTGAACCTAAACTTCGTCAAGCGATAACTCTCATGGATGCCACAAGCGATGATACGACGATTACCTATGGTTAGCTTGCTGAGCTTCGGAGGCGATCCGAAGAAATGTTGCACACGTGAAATTACCACATCAAAAGCATTCTTAGGCGAATGATGAATTCTGAGGAAGAGTGGATGAAAGCGTCCTGCATAGAAGATATCATGCGTGTAAAAAATGGCTCGGCAGGCAAAGATAAAAACAGTGAACGAAACCGACCGGTGGGATCAACGACTATTTTGGATGATCTCTGAGAGGGATCTCACAGGTTTTGTAACATCTGAACAAATGACACCTCATTAAAGGAACCACATATTGCAGTAATGCTAACGCGGTTACCAATGTGGTCATTCTTTGGTGGTTAGGCCGTCTGTCTGCGTGCTCTATCTGGTTAAAAATGCAAGATTTAATTTTCTAAACCTAACTTTTAAAGTGACCAAACGACTTCAAGCATAATGGTATCCCATTGGCACCCTACATTTCGGGTTCATCATATCGATGTACCATGTGATGACAGTCCACCACCTGCTAGATCTAGACCTTTGAAAAACGTACTATAGACATTTCCATGTGCTACTACTGAGATCATTGAAAACTTAAATATAAACCGCAACTTTTTACATTCGTCATCGTTTGGAATTACATTAAAGATGTGGTCCTTTGCACACGTCACGTTAATATAAAGGCAAACTGAATATTGATGCCGTGAATATAGCCACTACAATGAGTTTGACTTCTTGTAACGGATATGAGCAGCTTAAGAAAGATTACACCGTTGTTTTGACAAATGGTACTATTACTATTATTGTGAAGCACCATCAAGCCCCGTAAATATAGACCAATAAAACTGGCAGAACAGTCACGCGACTCAGGTAAGGTCCAAATCAACCTGTACAGCCAGCCAAACGACCTCAACACAACTCAAGTTGTTACACAGAGCCATTTTATTATCCCTCAACAATATTAATAATCGCATGACAGGATTACTCTGACGGTTTAGTAAGCCAGTTGCTACAATCAAAGATGTGCATATAGACAGAACCTTCAATTACATCGATTTATTTAGCTTAAACATTTGTTTGTTATTTACATATGTCACATCACAAGATAAAAATCCTGCTAGACCTCTCTGGTCATTTCAAATCAATTAGAGTGCGGAGCATTTTCAGCAGTTCGTTGTTTTTTCTCTCGATTGTTTTGTTTCATTTTGATTTCGCTCCATCGTTTTTGCAGCAACCGTTAGCTGGGCGAATTGCTTCAGGGGGGTTCTCTGCTTATCCCCACATCTTTACTTTTCTTTCTCTTAACAAGAAGAGATTAGAAGCTAGCCTCACTATTATGTGAAGCGGGCGCTCACGTTCATCGAAGGCGCTCACGTCGTCAGCGAGCCAAACGGTCTGTAGCGCTGGCTTCCATCACCACTAGTGCCAACACGGCTATCGGAAGCAAGAACTAAAGCTTTGTGGATTCGCTGTAGAAGCAGCATCTACATGGGCTAACCCAGCGTCGCCGGCGTGAGGAAAAATCGAAGAAAGCGATTCGGAAGGAAAGATAAAGGTTAGGCGTCGAAAAGGCAATGGCAGCGAATCAAGGCGCCTGCCTGCCTATAGACATCGGAGTGTGTTAGAGTGCCTCGTTTGACTGAGAGGTGGTAGCGGCGTCTAGAGCCAGCGAACTAGTGAGTTTAGTTCGACGAAAACTGGCAATACTAGATCAAGTGTCCCAGCGCCCCCCACCTCCCCAGACCCAAAACAGACGTTGTTGGAAAGAGGGCGAAAATACGAAAAGCGCAACAGGAAGCGAGTCGGCAGTGGTAACGCACTACCAACATGGCCAAGTGTAGCTGCAAGAAAGAAGTCTTATGCAGCAGGCTTGGGATAGGAGTGGCGTGTTAACGGGAAATGAAGCTGCTATCAACCTACCCGAACTCTTGCCTTAAAAGCAAGACAGTTAGCTGAGAGGCAGCGGCGAGACTAACGCTTGCCGCGGCTGGGGCACCTACCTCACTTGTGTGGAGCAGGCGTCGTCGTAGTTACCGCCGTGCTAGAACAGTGGCAGCGTCAACGGTTCCAGCTATGGCGTGACCAAAGTTCAAACAGAGGGCCAAAAGCAAACACGGTAGATTTGGGGGCAGTGTTGGACTGCCGGGTTAAGGCTAGTAGCACAAGTGAATCCACGGGCGACTACAATTGTAACAGAAATGGGGTCGCTCCGTCGACCTGTCGGTTGATTGACCTGTTGACCGCTCGTCGCTTTTTTGTGTAGCTTTAGTAGAAACGCGAGGCGGCTCGAAAGGAGGAGGGGATGGGAAAAGAGGAGAGGGGGATAACTGAGGGAGAGAAGGGAATGGGTAAGTGGGAGTAATTTACTACGTTCTATCTTTCGACTGACTGCTCTTATCCCACTGTCACGAGCTTCTTCAATTGCCCAGTGGCAAGTCCGCAGTGCAGGCTTGGGGGAGTAGTTAAACCGGTTAGAAGAGGCCGCCAGTAAATGATCGAGGCTATGAGAGAGGGGAACCGCAATCGAAAAACTAGAAGCACAGGCTAAACTTTTGAAAATGAAGACGAACGGGGTGATAGTGGTGAAGATGATGATTAAGAAACGGTAAAACACATCGTACTGTGAGCAGTAGATCAGCTAATACAGCTGGCGAGAGTAAAGCGGCAGTACCAAAGGTAATCAAGGTGGCTGTATGTAAGTAAAACGGCAACAAAAACAGTTATGGTACAAAAACTGTATGATTCAGAATCCAGGTAAGAGGCAAAAGGCCACAGTTTCAATTTTGGCCTTTTGGGGTGATGTCTGAGTGTGATGGTTGAAAACGATAAAACATGCGATTTAGCAAAAATCAATCATTGATTGTATTGCTGCTTTGTTTTCTTGAATCACTGGACACTATATCATGCTATCAGCAAATGTAGAGAAACGATACGGTAGATCTTGAGCATTTCACTCTTCTCGTAATCACTACAATTGCTGAAAGGACTGAACACAAATGTATAATAATAATAACAGAAAAACATACTGGTATTTTGATTTAGCACCAGCATACGACACGTATTAAGGAAGTCATCAGTTTTATTACTAACATACGGAGGACGAAATTAGGCCTCCATTGACCAAGATGTTTGGAACATGATCGATTGAACTCAGAACTTTAGAAAGCCAGTTTTTAGTTCTTGAGTATTTACTGTTAATGTCCAAGAATTTAAATCGTAAAAATAACTTCGATTTTTTAAACTACTTAGCGTAATGAACGCGCTTTATCCAATTTGTGAGCACTGCATTAAAGCAAAAACTTTTAGGATTTCCAACATCTAGTAAGAACTTACAACCGCTTTTATTACAACGATATTTAATGCTTGCAAAGAGAGAACTCTTATAAGCTCAGCAGTCAATAAGGTCGTCTACAACAATTAAGCCGTGAGCTTTAACTAGTCAGAAACTCACTGAAACTCAATCCTTTTTGGATATGATACGCGCATATATCGGTAATTTATTTAGATGGAGGTAGGGGTATTAGCTCAATAAATACTGAGTTTTAATAGCTACTAAGTACCTTGCATTAGCTCAAGTCGACTACAGAAAAATCTAAACTACTAAAAAATGTTCGTTTAAATTTGTTAAGAGAGCAAACACAATTTCATATACAGGAAAACGCGGTACGTTGACATCAATTAATAATAAGTGTTTTTTTTTATTATTATAAAAGAAAGACAACTATATATGGCTAAGACTGCGGGCATTTTGCTATCAACATTTTTCGCTTTTCAAACCTTTAGCGAAGAGTTAGATATCGAGAACCAGCATTTTTTGTACATCGAATCCTCAAATGTCCATCTGTAAAGAGCGAGAGGTAAGGAATAACCAAATGAAAAGCAACGTTCTCCTTGCCTTAGCCCCTGTTGTTAAATAGAAATTTATGTTCGTAACGATTTTGTGACGATTTGTATCTTACTTTTTGTACTCTACCAATTCCTGACAAGTGATCTTAAAGCTGACTCATAACAGTGATACGTCAGCCAGGCGGCCACGTCATCTGTCTGCCTCCCATAACGTGCACATGTAAATGGTAGACACTTTGAGCACCCTGTACGCCGTTGTTGATTACGACACGATAACCTTCTTTCAGGCCTTGCTGCGCGGCAACCTGTCAACAATGGCTCAATGTTATTTTTAAAACGCCAAAGAAAAGGCACAATTCTATTTACTATTTAATTTACAGATATTTTTAAGTCAACTTATGTGTCGTTTGCTGTGGATCAGCTGTTAACGTTGCAGGATACACTTAATAGAAAGAGATCATTAGCGCTCACTACGCTTTAAGTTTTGAACTTTGAATGTGACGTTTAGCGAACTATTATAATAGGCTGATTGGAGCCGCTTACGCCAATGGTGTGTTAACTATTAGTTCTTCATGTCCGAGGCGATATATTTGTTATAAAAAATAATTCGTACATATGTACACACGTACATACAATGTGTCGCAGCTAGGGTGAGAAAGATACATTTAAGTGGTCTGTTATAAGTGAAGGTGAATCGAGGGCGACATCGAGACAGATAAGGTCGCTGTTAAAGAGGCAACGACAAGTCAAGAAGGACGCTTGTATTATAACTGAATAAGTGGAATGCGCTACGGTTCAGTGGTTCAATTGCACATTTCTTCCTTCCGATCCTAGTTATCCTCTCAACAGCCTAAAGTCTATTGCAGTATTACTTATAGTAATGTGCAAGTCTGACCAGTTCCATATAGTATTTTAATAAAACAAAAAATTGACACATATATGTATGTCAACTTTTTGCTATTATATATCATATACAATTATATATTATATACCGTTCCTTACTCGCGTTAGCAAGCAAAGAGTCAAGCAGTACATTGACTCACATCGTCATATTCTCCTAATCCGATACAGCAAGCTATTTTCCCAGCATGAATGAAGAAACTGTACCGTATCATGTTTTCAATTACCTTTTGAGCAACCAGCAACAGATGACCAAGCAGATCCTGGTCCGAGTCGTCGGCCTGTTCCAACGTTGCTATAAATTTTCGTGGGATAACCAAAAAATGGACGTGCGCTTGAGGGTTGATATCGTTAAACGCGATGCACTAACAAAAAAACACAAACACGTTTGCCATTATAGCTTATAAGTAATGCATTAACTAGTTTAAAATTAAACTGGATACATAAGAAATTAGTACACTTCGTATGTGTTATTTTTCACCGATTTATCAAATCAGAAATAAAGTAGTCAATGTAATTTCAAATGTGTCCGCTTGGGTTTAAGAAAGTATCCGATTTAATATAACATCTTGCAATCATACTAAACACGATCATATTATTACAGCTTCTAATTTAGTTAAGAAGTGGTTAGGAAATTCCAGTTTTTTTCATCTTCCGGTTTAGAAAATTTACAGGCTATTATCAATTTTTGATAAATACTCAGTCTCTTGTAGTACGCTTAACCCAAGTACAGTAATCCCCTTGGGTACAAGATTTGACGTTTTATGAATATTGATAAATACAAAACCTAATAGATTTTTTTAGCAAGATTTTTTTTAGCAATCACCTAAAGTGTGTACGTAGGCACAAATTGATTGTCTTTGTTAACAAAGGGTCATTCATTACCTACTACAATAAAAAAAAATCTATTTAATTAAAAGGACCTTTTTCTTATTACTTATTTCCATATTTTGTTTACGCTTAAGGTTTTTTTCCCGTCAAAATCTATGCTACTCTAAATCAAAATTGCTGCCTCAAAAATAAGTTCGATCAAATAAGACTAATTGCGGTAAGTATGAAATCTCCTCGTTTTCAGTAAAATCCCTTACTTCTGTCGATTCCTGCAATACTACTGGTTCTTTCAGATGTATAAAGAGCCACCTTATTAAAGAATGGGTGGTAGCAAGTTTGCGTGGACAACTTGTAGCTTGCGACTATCTAAGGATTAAAGAACCTGTACGATATGACACCTTGTCGTCGTCGTAAATGATATCTGCTGGAATGGTCCCATCAAGAATCTTCGCAAAAATTGTCGGCTGTCCTGAAGCAGCGTGCTTTTTTGCGGCTCGAGCTGCATTTGCAACCTCATCTATGTCTGTCGAGTGTGATCGGCGAACGACAGCCTAAAGCGAATTCGAAAATCTTGTGTTATTTACAGTACAGCATCCAGCCTTGAGTAACACATTTATTGATAAACGTGGTAGTTAATGATCACCTGCCAGTAATATGTACGTAAAAGAATGAATACAATTAGATTAAGTTATAAATATGTATGTAAGACCATCCTCTTCCGCAGTATCAATGCACTAGTAGAAAAACTTAGTCAAGTATGCACCATACACTGAAGAGAAAAGCATATATTATAGTACTGACCTAAGAAATGTGATAAGAATAAGATGTACTATCCGTTACACATACAGGTAAGCCAGAGTCCAAATGTTACTTTACACTGCGGTCTAAATAAATCGAACATTTCTTCATCTCTAAAGAACGAACCACGGATTGCTCAGACTCGACAGTGTGTTTAAGCCGATTCAAATAGGAACCAATTTCATAACTGTCGCTACACGTCTAATGCATTGGAAAAATGTGTTACTGCATTAGGTCAACAAGCTTTTTTTTTCTTTGAACCTGTGACGTCGATGTACCATGTTTGCGGGATAGTAGCACATTTCGATAATTTCTTTACCTCGCGCCTGATATTTCGAACATATTTTGGTCTCCAATGGAGGCGGGCGGACTGGCTCGTGGCTTGTCCCATATTATTGAGAACAAAATGGGGCTTTCGGGTTAGATAGATACCTGCAGACGGCTGGTATTCAGCGATCGCGAGATGAACGCTGAATTCATCACCAAGCGCTTGGCAATTAACCCGATGAGCATCTTGGAAGCTTCTTTTACCGCATGAGAATAATAATGCACCTGTAATAAATGCAGAACGCAAAATGCAGCTTTAATCCTGTTTGAAACAAAGAGGTAAGGCATCTTTCCAGGGTGCCCAATTACATGGTCTTGCGCGTACGTAAAACAAACAACATCTGTGTGTTTGCAGACATAAATCTATTAAAGACAACTATTTCTGAAAAGCGCAGTAATGTACGGGAGAAATGGATAGTTGATGATAAATACCACAAAGTGAATGCACTTCGATTTCTTTAGTAGTGCTTGCTATTAAAGAAAACGCGTAGCCATTCGTGTAGCAGCATAGCGGTTATACCAACAGTTCACAGGTTAATACATGCTCAATAACAACGTATATCATTCAGGTGACAAGTGGTTAAAGTAGAAAAAAATCTCACCGTACACTTTTTTTTTTTCAAATCTATTTATTAATCTATTTAAATTATTGAAACTTTTCATGAGATGGGCGAACTTGCTTGAACAACAACACAAACCAAATCGTCGGCATAACAGTGACGACTGCAAACGAGTTCTAAATTCATGCGTGAAAATCAGGCTTCTGTATTGATCTTATTGGAACAAAATATTCAGGTCTGAAAGAAACTAATGCATACCACCTGTTCCACTATCTGTTTATTAACTGATCGTCTGGCAAGTCGCCAGCAGCTGTCTCAAAATTTCCTAATAATAACGATCGTAAATGCACAACTCCCTGAAAACTCTCACAGTTAGTGATAATAGACTTCCGCTTGTCGGAGTCTAAAAGAATATCGAGAATTCGTGGCACAGTGAATCAGAACAGACACAAAGCGATCTTAGCTGCTTAATCATTTAAAGCAAGCACACAGCAACAACTTTTAAACAATCCCGGCGCGACTGACGGTCAGTAGAACAGATCAGCTGATGTTTTGGCCGACATTTGCTGCTCGTAGTGTTTAACTACCACTCTCCGGTTAGTCCTTGCACCAGTAGCGCAGGATCACACTCATCATTACGACAAAAACAAGAGTGACCGGAATACCCCGCTGCCACAGCGAGGATAACAACAAAAGCAGAAGCACAGTAGGTCGACTGATAGGAGAGCTGGTCACTTATACCCAACTAATGACGTTCACGGAGTGGGAACAGAGTTTCTCGAATGTAGTGCTTGCTCATTTTATTGCCTTTCAAAGCCCGGCGACGCACTTAACTTGTAGTGGTGGTCTTCCTTTTTGGGAGCATACCAAGCAAACCAAAAAAACTTCACTTAGTTTACATTTGTTGAAAACCCCGTAGAGGCTTGTCTGAGTGTGTGTAAGTATTTTCGCCACGAAAACGGTGTATTTAACGAAAATGTCATCGAGTGGCGGAGTTAAATTGGCCGATTTGTGCGCCGATTGCTGTGCGGCCGACCCGTCGTGGGCGTCGTTGAGTTTAGGTGTACTCCTGTGTTCTCGTTGTGCACTAATCCACTTTAGCTTAGGCAGGCATATTTCGCAGATTGTGTGCTTGAACGAAAAATTGCCAACTAGACAGAGAGAGCTCTTAGACGTGTTGTCGACACGTAATATAAACTCTGTTTGGGAGCACTACCTGCTTGACTCAAACTTCACTGGTGGATGTCGGAAACCACCACCGAACGATCAAAGTCTACATCCGACGCGAAGCGCATTCATCAAATCAAAATATGTCCTTATGAACTTTATGGAACGGCTTTCACATGATACTAATGAGCTTCAGGTCAATATCCGACTCATGACAAATCTGAGAACGAACGACGTTGACGAATCTCTCAAGTTGATATTGCAAGGCGCGGACGTCCGGTTTGTTCATCCTGAAACAGGACAGACACAACTCCACGCTGCTGTCTTAGCTAGTCAACCACTTCAGGTAGATTGTTTCAAATAATAGCTGCAAGGTTCTTATATCGATCAGTAATATTTTGGCGATAACAATCAGGCTGTAAGAAGTCAGTGCGAGTAAGCTAGCATCTCGGTTCCGATACTTTGTTATTATTATTTTGCTACATACTTACAATTGGGTGACGTGTAGCCACACAAACTTGTAATGTCTCTTTCCCTCGGTATCGCTAATAAGGCCGCATAAATAAGACTAATCACTTAAAATTTACTACTCGTAATTATTTGAGCAAATATTGTTCAAAACTTTAACTTACATCTCATTGAAATATGCTTCACTTCATATAAATCACTTCGAGAGAGTACCCTTTGCACTTTAAAATAAAAACCTTGTCTCTAAATAGCTTCACGACACATATTATAATATAGCTTACATACTGATCCCAATGTTTACTCATTTGAAACACATTAAGGAGTGTAGATGCAAACTGTTTTCTGTTCTAGGTTGAGCTTCTCCTAATTCACGGAGCGGACCCTCGTGTCGAAGACGGATCAGGCCATTCGGCGCTTGACGTTGCTCGGGCAGCTTGTCGCCCAGATTTGATTAGTCAAATGATGACTGCCTTAAATCAACTAAGTGATAGTCTACAGAGTTTTGTTACTAGCATCGGTGGACAAATGTTGGCCAATTCACCCCCGCCGCTTCAGTTGGATGATGAAGTTCGAACGGAGCTATGTAAAGATCTCTATGACGAAGTCGAACGCCGAGAGATACAATCGCAGATGAATTGCGATGAGGTGCCATTTCTGCCAGTGAACCCGGCGTTCGCGTCAATCCGTAATCAATCGAGACAGAAACTCGCCAGATTAAATCGCCAAGAATTAGCGGCACTTATTGTCCTCTGCGTTGGACAGGAACGCCTGTCCGCGCATAATTCATGTAGTGGGAGTGTCGGAGGAGGAGTTCGTCTCCCAGACGACGACGATGAACCTTTGTATGATAGCGTTTGTGGGGATGACGATATCACAATTGTTACGGAAGAAGTGGAAGAGACAATGGCTGCGTCGGCGGCCGAAACCCCAACAGAGTGGTTAACAGCAAGTCCGCCCTCGCCTGCCCCGACCTTACAATCGGTCCCGCCACCAGTTGCTGAAGCACCAAGCTTCTTTCCCAATCTAATAGTGAAAACGGATGAAATCACAAAGCGTACGCATGCACTTTTAGTTGCAGCGAAAACCCAGAATGACGCTAGCTATCTCTCAATTTGCAAACAGATTCGTTGTTCTGTTTTAGAAATGTCATATCTGTTACCTCATAGCTATCCCGAGCCGGCGTGTCACAGCGCCCTGCAAAACATCATACGAGCAGCGGATGATCTCGTGAACAACTGCGAATGTCTGTTAAATGGCGATAAAGCTGAAAATGCTCAAAAAATCATCAAACTAGTCTTCACTGTTGCTCACGGTGTCAAGACGTTTGTGATATCGTTCCCACATCTGCGGAACACACAACCACCAGTTTAGGTAAATAAGAAGGATACATTACGATAAAGTTAACTCAATAAGCTCATCTATCTATGTACATACATGCTTGTAAATTGGGGAATCTAGAAATTTCGTACGAACTTTAGGGGGTTTAAGTTAGCCTGCTTTATTATTCATTACGGTATATGACATAAAAAACAATGTTTTTAGCTACAAGATAGCTAATGGAAATTTGTGCGTAGAATTTTCGCCGTTTGAGTGATCCCTGGAATTGCCCATATTAATCTTATATACGTGATTTTGCACCTGCATACTTTTTTCTAATATTGAAAATTGACATGTAACATTACAGCGTGTTAAACACTGGCTAACCTGAAATATATAATCAAATTTAGAATTAATCCACACTTTACTGCGTACGAGTTAGAATAAGTAACTGTTTTTTTTTTTTTGTAAAAAAAATGATGAATACTTATCTGCCTTCTTACAATGTTTAGATTGTTATCCGTTGATGGTAAAATAGTTCTCGCAATTGTCTGCAAGTGATTGTTGTTTTGACTTAAAGGAGCTTCTTATACTCCTCATTTGTGCTCCGTGACGAGTTAAGCTGTTGTCACTTTCTTTCACTTATCAATTAAAACGGAACGAAACAGATAATTATGCTCATAGTCTCTATATTATGATATGCCCAATGTGAAGGTCCCATATTTCCAGAAGGTTTATTGGGGAGTGACGCGACAACCGTAAAATATACAATTACGTATAAATACCGACAATCGATATGTACCACAATAACGGTTTTAGTTACATGTAATTAAAGCTTTGTACAATAAAACTATATGCTTTGACTATAAAAAAAATTTGCGTGTTTTTTAGTGAACGTTATGTTAGCAGGTAATAAGTGTTTTACGCTGTTAGAAAACTTTTTGATATTTTTATATTGGCATCCCTTGTCTATACTGTAGAAAAAAGTGAAAACCCGACACGGAGTTTGGCTTTGAAACGGATGCACACATCCTAAGGTGGTTTTAAAAAACAATATTTAAGGAATTGATACGCTTCAGTTTAAGATAACAAATCAAAATCGATCTAAAGGATAAAAAGGCGATATTTAACTGTCTAAAAACTGATTTTAGCAAAACCAGAAGAATTTGCTGGTAAACAAAAAACCTGATGAAGCGACTATAACATTGCATGCTCTGAATAGCGTGAATATATCGTAGTCTGTGATCTTCATTATCTTTTTTGTTGTTTAGCCAGTTACAGCAGAAGCAGTTAGTTGTAGAATCTTTTTTTAAATCAATTTTGAGTAATAAAATCTTTAAATAAAGTCAAATTTAATTTCTTATATTATCATTTTCTTTTAACAAATGTGGTTAGGAGATGTCGAAATTTAACTTTCTCAAAGTAGGTTTATTTATTTCAAAGTTCAAATTTCATCAAAAAATTTGTGCCATGGAGAAAACTGAAACAAACTCCTGCGTTTACGGTGCAAGAAAATAATTTTTGGAAAAAGGAAAAAAGCTGTTAACGGGAAGTCGGAGATTCACAGTAAATATGAATACGAGCTCTATCGCGAAACATCAGGGCGTAGCGGAGTTGACTTCTGTGTTTGATTTGTATTCGACGAGTGCACTGCTTAAGAAACAACAATTGGCACAGACCAATTTTTTGACCTCTCTGATAAAGTGTCCTATGGGAAGCCAATATTAGCACAAACTCAAGAGTTAAAAAATATAAAGATCGAAAAAGTCAAGCACTGGAAGGCCTGTATCTGGAAGCATTATGCTGGCAAAAAATATGGTCTTAAAGTTAGAAACTTATTTCTCTTTTACCGAATCGATGACTGTCATTTGGCTAAAGTTTTAAAGGGGGGGGGGGGGGGGGGACACGACGATGTTAATGACTACCTTCGGATAACTTATCGAGTTTCATACTATAGAATGTACCTACGTATTTCATTAACAAAGCCCTATTAATAAGATACATACTACAATGAATAGTAGAAAAGTTTGATTTGGTTACTGAGACGCAGTAAATTAAAATTCAGTTTTTTAGACATTCAAATTTAGCTTGCCTGAACAAAATGTTTTAGAAAATACAGTTTGTGGTTAAGTGTACGGAATACTTATTGAGGTCACCAACCCATAGGTAGAAAGAACGATGATATAGAGTATAGATAGTTGTTCAGCCTTTCATAACGGTATGTGTTTGTAATTGAATGTTTTTCCCAGAATAAACAGGCTAATAAAACATTTTAAAAATATGAGTACTGCTGTCGGAATCATACCGCTGAATATTGTCATGTCGTCATCTAAACGAGTGAGCCACACATAGTCTTTATTAGTCAGCATAATATGACGATTTTACCATCTAAGCTAAGATTTTATCCATCATAACGCAAAGGTAACGGCGGAAACTGGAAACCGTATAATCTCTTCTGTTCTTATCACCCACAAGCGAATCAATACGGCATTGTACGTCTCGATTTGTTATTAATATTATTTATTTAGGGACAAAGGGACTAGTGTCTGGCAAAACATCTGGCAGTGGTGGGATTCGAACCCACGCCCCCGAAGAGACTGGTGCCTTAAACCAGCGCCTTAGACCGCTCGGCCACACTACCTCTTGTTGAAGCTTGAGAGTAGGTTTAGCAGTGTATTCACTGGCTTATGCCGATAGCGCTATCAACGACTCTCAAGGCCAAGAACATGTTCAATGACCGGCCAGTTATCTTTCACTGACCGTTATCTGAGTCCCTGCGGGGATACATAATGCACAGTAAATCGGCCGTTAATTGAAACGCTAGTAGCTGCAAACAGAGCTTCTTTTCCTAGACCGCGCATGCGGCCTCTTGTGGTCAAGATACTAAACAAGTCACGACCAGACTTGCGGTAAACGATTATCACAACTAAAGCGATAGCGTATTTTCTATGCAGCATTATCCACAGGTTTTTTTTTGCTCTTGGTAGTCACAGCTCAAGATAGCATTTTTTGGCTTCGCAAGCCTCGATAATGTCTGCGGAAATTTTCCGCCGGCAGGGTCGCCAATAACTTACAACAACACCAAGTAATGGCCATATTAATCTTGGTCTTTTTCGAGCACAAAATTTGGCGGCGTAGGCCAAAAATGTACGCACTAAGTATTGAAGTCAATTGGCAAGTTAATAAGAAAGTCTCAAGAGGGTTGAATACACTCAAGCGAATCCAATTATCGGTAGACACAATCGTCTTTTTTTTAGAAGTGGAATTTTAAAACCAATTCGGCTTGGTACTTAATGTCTGGATGTATACGACCAGCTGATCTAACGACAGCTACCTAAAAGACTATAATCATCAAACCAATAGTAACCGTTTGCTGCTACATATTTTGCTGATACAAGCAACACTAAATGTGAGGGTTACTGCATGTAGGCGAAGTAGACGTTAAAGATTAGACAAGTAAATTTTCCGAACTGCCTTACCCAGTGAGTAGCCCTTAATCCATATCGACGAATATGTTTATAAATTCATGAGATATTGTATATTAGTCAATAAAATTTATCGGAGTATCGAAAAATGAAATATTTGATTGGTCAATATTAACAAATCTTTTTGTGTTGCCGGCCGGTTGATTTTTGGAGATAAGAACGAAAACCAACTTTTATCCACACATCTCTTCAGTTATAAATGATCACACTTCTAATTATAGCTGACACCTTTTCATGAGTGTCGAATAATTTCACTAGTGTTCTGCCTCAGCACCGATGCAGGTTCTGAGCTCAATTAGAAAAGCAAGATGTCTCTTTTGTATTTAATAAGCCTCCTAGTTTACGCTTCTAACCTAAAACCACAGTTTGTTGTTAAATACCAAGGCGTTACTTGCTTCTATATGGCCGGTCTCAATCGACGAAGTCAGTTATGAAAAAAATTTCAAACTATCGGAGTTCAGCCACACGCTAAAAGCTATTTGCTGGTCAAACAGTTTTTTCCTACATCATCTGCATGGCCATTAAGATGGAGTTCAGCGAGGAGCCTACACACACACACACATATATATATATAAGTGCAAGGCATCGAGATAATTCGCAGTTAGTTAGCAGAGTGAACACTACTGTAAGTGTTGTAACTTACATCTCTGCCGTCTTATGACATTATTGGTCGGATCATCATTGCATTCTTAGGAATAAAAATATACTTTTCATATATAACCTCGATCGTTAGGATCAATAGGTTCGATGTTTGTACACGACAATATATAATGCGGGTCATCACCTCAATACCGTGCATCTTCTGGGGCGCATACCTAAGCGAAATAATGACCTGACATGATTTCCATGTGTGTCGGAGGTAATTTGAAGTTCAGATGGTCACGCCCAAAAGAATTAGGTGTTAGAGTTTGCGTTCTGTATACAAGTAAAGATCAAAACACTGTTATCTTAGCATAAGGTTTTGTTACGCCTACTGTGAAAACTTTATGAAAAAAATCCTTTTCAGTCCCTAATTATGTAAAAGTATATTGGATTGGAATTAGGCTATTAGGTACATGCTGCGTTATTGTTTGTTTGAGAGGAACACTCATATTCCACATTGAAAACGGGTATAATTACGATAGCCGTTCAGAACCAAAATAATGCAATGAAACTCCTGGTCCTGCTGGTATCGCTTCAACATGTAATTTGCCAACCAGAAAAAAGAAGTCTGCAATAAAAAGCTGAGCACAGCGCTGCGCCCCTTATGACGGGCATTCCTCATTTCATCGCATCCAAAGTAACCATGTGAATTCCGGTTGTAACCGCCCTCGCCATCGATGTCATCGAATCGCAAGCGGAACCGGTCCTTCGGCATATAGTACGCATGATTCAGCTATATTTCCATAGAGCAGGTTGTAACGTAGAAGGGCAAGTAGCACGACGCTGTATTGCAGTGACACAACTTTTCACAGCTCATTTTATCGCTGCTTCTGGTGCATTAGGTAATAAGACGGCCCCCGGCAGAAATCCATCCCTATTTGAGAAAGGGTTCTTGAGAGATGGGCACAAGCCCCTTTCTTCTGGAGACAAAAACTCCAGTTTGAACAGCAGATCCGAGCAGAGTGTTCGTCGAGCAGCTGGCAATAGCGATACCATGTCTCTGTTAAATGGCATGTTTGGATTAAAGGAAGGGCGATTAACGCGAGGCAAGCGGCTTCCTGGACCTAGTGGAGTCCCGGTGTTTGGGTCTTCACCGCAACTGGGAAAGTTTACCAAGATTTGGGATGGCTTTAGCGAACTCCACGAAAAATACGGCAGTCTAGTGGGAGTGCAGATTGGAAGCCGATATTGCCTGCTGGTCAACAACGTCGAAGACATCAAAGAGATTCTCATAAATAGAGCAACCAGTTTTGCAAACCGCCCGGACTTCCTCCGGTTTCAAGCAATTTTTCGATGGAACCGCGATCTTTGTAAGTACTTGAAATACTATAGCGTATACAAACAGTCATGCTTTGCGGCCCAGTACGGTTTAGGGAAATACGTTTTTCAATTACTGACGAAAAGTTATGAGATCTTTCAGAACTTAAGTTTTTATGCTCTTGATATTATTTAAATAACGACGAGGTGGTTATGTGGCATCTTTTAAGAAAGACTGAAAATACATCCGGAGAAAACTTCAGTTCTACGAAAGAAAAGTTCATCAGTAACTGGGAGCAACAAAAATCCGAAATTATTTTAGTAACAGTAAATAGTAGTAAGTTTAAAGTTGCCGAACTTACTGAAATATTCTTCTAACGAAGGCTTAGGCGCAGTATACCGCAATACATTTTAGACCTTACAGTCTGGTCACACTTTTATCCAGCAACAACGTAATTAGGTCTGTATCGATAACTTTAAAAACTCGTTCTATCCTCTTCACATAGCCAGGAACATCGATAATTTATTGTTAGCTCCCTCTTTATTTAATAAGCATTCCAAATAAATGTAGGGGCGCTGCATGGTCGTATTAAAAATACCAGCCGAGGTCATAAACCGAATGTGTCAGGTTTGACATCCGGTACCGCCATTAAACATCACTTAGACAGCTTCCAGCACGAAAGGTCACATACAAACAGAACATAACATTAAATGAGCAAGTCTTTTTTTAAAAAAACACTGCTATATGTTGCATTGTTATTTCTAGTTGGCACTAAAGTATGGCTAGCTTGTTATCTCTCAGAATGAAGATGCAGCTTCTCCTAAATAGTCTCATGAAAGATCAATGTGTCAACGTCGACAAGCAAAATTGGTGAAACTATCGAGAGTGAATAGTATCAGTTCACTTATATGGGTGTAGTTGTCTTTTCGTTTAGGGTTATAAAAAAAATGATCAAGACTCTGGGACCTAAGCTTTGTATTAAGCAAGATTTCCGAATAAAAGCCTGTTTCTAGAAGTCCAGAGGCCTTTTCAAAAAACGGTACATCAATGTTCTTTCACTGGTTTTCCCGATACAACTAAATGAATCAGTTTTATAATAACGTCTAACATACTTCTGTTTGTTGGGCTTTTACTTGCTTTGATAGTTCATTTACTTCATGAATAGGTAAACGCCTTTATAGGGTTTGTAAGGTTGACCCATAACAATTCAAGGTGCAGACCAACCTTGAATCTTTGGCTTGATATGCCCATACTTTTTATTTACCTATTCCTTGTTAGCTTATGAATATTGGCCTGAAACATTGATTTCTGAAGTATTTTGCCCATCGATTGCGTTCAGCACAAACAGGATTTGACACCTCATCTGTTAATGGGTTATATCATTGAAAGCATTACATACATAGCATGCCGGCGCTCCTTCAAATCATATTCTAGTACAGTAAAGAATGCAATAAAATTTAACAAAACCATTACAATCGAGCTTAACATTCCGTGATGTATGTGCTCTGCTGAATCTGTTTTCGTAGCTGTCGCTTTGTCCGATTGGTCTACAAAACAGAAGACCCGACGCGATATCCTTTATGGACCTCTGCATCCCAAGGGTGGCGTATACCTTCAAACGAAGATTTTCGATAGTATTTCATCGCAGACTATACTCCTGATAGATTTCTTTAGGGAGAAGAATGGTGAACCCTTAGAGCCGCGTTGGCCCATCCTAAATGCTATCGGAAACGTGTTTTACGATTTTTTTTGCAGTAAAACGTAAGTTGAGACATTCTGAGTTTTCAGTTATTTTCATTTATCCCTCAGCGGAGGGCTTTTTAGACTATAACGAGCTTACTTTATTCTGAATGTGTCATATTCAAAAAAAAGGACTACACTAGTTTTCTTTCAATAGATAATGTATTTCTATATTTCTCCTTTCACTGTGTTTGCCTGCTTTTTTTTTTCTATTTATCCTGTAATCATATCGTTAGCCATTAGCATGGACACAAAACTTAATTGTCAGTCGTATTGACTGACCAGTCCCCACGGCGACCTGAGTCCGGTGCGTCGCTGGTTGCAAAGCTAAAGAGCCGTTCTCAATTTAAATCATTTCATGTAAAGCATTATAGCTTTTGCGTGTATTACTAAACGTACCTTCACTATAGCTAAAAAATCTATATTGTGAAGAAATGAACGTTATATTTGAAGAAAATTCATGCGTTACTATTAGCAGAAGCGGTATAAAATCAAAGAAGGAACCATTCGTTGACATTGCAGGTTCGACTGGAACGATGCTGTGTACTTGCGCACGGTGAACTTGTATAATGAAATCTTTCACGAGCTATTTCAAGGCTTTGCCATTGATTTCATGCCATGGTTAAAGGTGATTTTATCTAAACATCTATTTCGACTTGCAGATTGTACATATCGGTACATGAAAAACCTTATACTGAACGGAACCAATTATGAATCTCACACGTAGAAGAACTTGCATATGGTTCGCAAAAAGTTGTGCTTTTTAAAATCAAATAGTTTATCTTCTTATTACAGCCATTCTATAATAAACGACTCAATGAACTGCATGCGTTGGAAGCTGAAATCTCGAAGTTTAATAGCGGTATGATCACGGAGCACGAGCAAAGCGCAGCAGCTTACGAAGTTGAACCTCGGGATATATGCGATATCCTTGTGCTGTATATAAACAGCGCGGCAAATTGCGATGCAGTGAAGAAGATTAAACTCGATAGAACTGACCTCGCGGTGATCATTGGGGACCTCATCGGTGGTTTTCCCGTCGTAAGCAACATGGTCCTTTGGGGAATTTATATGCTTGCAAACGAACCCGAAGTCCAGAATAAGGTATGATATATAAGATGACTGCGTAATATGAGACAGAAAATATTCGTGGAACGCTCGAGAATCTTTTAAGTAACCATGTTAAGGTTTCAGAGTCAATTTTAAAGCTGTGTTGAAATTACGGATAATCTCGGTAAAATTATCTTGTAAAACGAGCAATAATCGTGCAAAACTGGCTGTTTAAATATATCAAAATGCACTCCTTTTATTATTTTTTTATTGACAGTTGTTCGAAGAGTACGAAGTTGTTTGCGGTTCAGGAATCCCGGGTGCTGACCATAAGAAGTCGTTGGTCTACACCGAGGCGACTATGTACGAAATCCTTAGGATGGTGTGCTCGCCCATAATTCCACACGTAGCCACGCAAAATACAGAGCTTCAAGGTTATCATATTCCCAAGGACACAATGGTAATGTTCAATATCTGCGACCTCAACTTCAATCCAGAACTTTGGGACAAGCCAGCTAAGTTTATGCCAGACAGGTATGACGGTTAGATGAGGACATGTGATCTGATTCTTAGATTAAGGCAATATTAACATTTATAGCTCAGAATTGGGCTTAGAAGCAATAATATACATCATCCGTACCTTAGCTTTGTCACGTGGGCCATCTAAGCAAGCGTGCGATATTTATGTTTCATCATAGAAGGTTCGCAATATATCCTATGCAATTAATACAGGGCATTTTTGTACTCATAATAGACGTGCATGCATGTTGAGTCAATTGTAGCCCTGTAACTTAACGCAAAAGTATTTATCTCTACTTTTTTAGGTTCATTTGCGACGGGACCCTACTCAAGCCAGACCACTTCTTGCCCTTTGGTACTGGCAAGCGATCATGCATGGGCGATGGTCTAGTTCGCCACATCGTCCACTTGATTCTGTCAGCATTGATTGGACAGTTCCGAGTCCGTCTTGCCCCTAGTACGCCAGCGGTTGATTACTTGGATGCACGCGGCCGAGTTATCATGGAGACAGAACCAAAATTGATGTTCGAGCAGAGACTGTGAGATTCCAGTTTGTATACTTTGTGCTTTTTATCACCGTGCATGAGGCATGCATGCTTTTTTGCATAGAACATAGCACATTATCATACAAACAAAATACATCTTCATACACGTCTTGGTGGGCAGTTATCTAACTGATTTTTATGTATAGATAGTAACAGGCAAATCGAATGCATGGTGAACAAAGCTGCAATGGAAACACATGTATACACAAGTACGTATGATGAATAAAATATACAAGTGTTTATACTTTTTTTCATTTTCATGTAGTCGTTATTAATTTTATCAAGACGCGGCGAAATCGTTTGTGTAATAATGGTTGGATTTCACAGGCGAAGTATGAAGAATGGCAACGACTAACCTAATCATTTATGTAACATTTAACGTACATTGTTTTAATTAGCAAAGTACTCTGCTTATACACAGCTAGTGCAAATTAGGTAGTAATATATTTTCCACGGGTGTCGTGAGGCTGTTATAAATCAGAATAATAGAGCTTAGATTCAGTACTAATAACAGATTCTAAAACAAGCCGCAAAAAAATAGTATTCTGTTTTTATAAATATATCGTTTTACTAATACTGCAAGTAAATATGTTACATGTACATAGCTGTGACGGCCAGTATGCGCTGTGCTATAACTACGAAAAGATACATCATCGTCATTATATCATTATTGCATATGACGAAAGGGGGGGGGGTCAATGTTCACTGAGAATCTCGTGTGCATTGGATCGAATGCCGTAACTATCGATTACATATATATGTGTACGCAGTAAGCGACGTGCTTATAATTACTTTACCAGCTAACTATTGTTCCATTCATCGAGGTTATAGGATACACCGTGTACAGGCCAAAATGCTCTGTCAATGTTCCTTCTTCCCTAAGTTGTAAGTTGTTTAGTTAAACGACAAGTATTTGCTATTAGTTGAAGTCCAGAATTCACGATTTAAATTGTTGTGGAGTTTCCACAATACGAATTGATCAACCTTCGCAAGTCTCGTCGTATATATTTCTCCTGTATAATATAAATATGGGACATTTGCTTGTGGGAATAGCTAAAGATCGGGCACAATGAAAACACCTTCTTGGGTGAAGGTCAAATTGTGCAGGTCATCATCCTCGTGTAAAACATGAGTTTAAAATTCTATCGGGTGCATGGCGACTGCGTCTAACTTTACATTGCTTTTAGCTTTCAGCCTGCGGTAGAGTGGATTCGGTACCTGCAAACTGCTATTGCCTGTAGATGGCTGCAATTAATCAGTCGCAACGGGCTTTGCAAATAATATAAAAGCTCTTTTTGGTATATTTCCACGTCGTTTTGTATTAGGTGTACTAGGATGGTGTACTAGGACTCTCAAGAACGCATTTTCAACGAAACGGGCCAAATTAAACTTGCTTTACCATTGGTAAAGAATACGATGATATGTGAAGTGCCTTAACCAACTTGCCGTAATCATACATCGTTATGATTCGAAGTTGTTCTTCTCACAATATGCAAGAAGTCAGCATTATATTGGTGGGCTGAGTAGTTTTATCGAGATAATACCATGTCGTTGAATATTCTCGTGTATTAAGTTAGTATAATACGAAGTTATTACGATATTGGACAGCGAAAGGGCAGCCCCATGGTGTGCATGCGAGTCGATTTGCTTTTGTTCTTGCTTGCTCATTAAAGTTACTGTTATTGTTAGTTATTAATAAATAAATTAATAGATAACGATGATTTGCCACCATAAAGAATTTTGGCAGTACTGGAATTTGCACTTTAGGTCTGGAAGAGACTGGTGTCTTATGACAGCTTCTTACAAGTTACTACGCAGCAAACGCAGGAGCTAAACAGGTGCAGGAGTTTATCCATTAGCATATGTGGGAAGCACTATCAACAACTTTCGAACCCAACTTCAATGACCGCTGACCGAAACACCATTTGCTGAAAACAACTTTTTCTCCAGGAGCTCGTTATACTTACAATGAACAGAAGACTACGAAGGGTAATTATGGCGGTCAAAGCGACATTGTACATTTCATATAGCATTATCCATGGGCGCTATGCTTCTTTCGGTCAGCTATAAATTGTAACAGTAACTACTTCTCTGGCATTGCAAGCTTCGATAATTTTCAAGAAAATATACTAATCGGATCACCGGTGGCTTACAGCAGGACCGACTAACAAAAATGCCAATCTTGTTCTTTTTCGGCAAAAATCTCGGCAGTACAGGCCAATAGGATTAAATGTTCAAATCACTTGACAAATGAACATGAGGGCCTCTAGAAGAGTGAATACATTTAAACCAAATCACCAATCCTTTACGATCGTCTGTTCATGAGTGGCGCAACCCGTGAAATGTTTGTGTGTGACAATGTGATAATTAGGCTAACAGTGCACATACGTAATAGAGATTTTGCAATATAGAAACGATTAGGTCAAACAAGTTTCTGACAAGCAAGTCCAGAGTGTAGTAACTGCTTAGTTATTTATCCATTTTGTTGACTTGTTGTTGTTATCCTACAAAGAACGGGTCGTTTTTTTGAAAAACTTACTTGCCAGTTGATGTGTGAATGTTCATCGCTACCTTATCTAACTATAACTATATCAAAGCAACAGTAATAGCATGTTATACCTTATATTTATATCGATGCGCTATGAAAGATCCCCAAATGTTCCCAAAGTTCTTGGGAGAAATTTTTTTTTTTAACTTTTTTCTGCAGATCTGTCGACTTTCATGAACTTATTTGTTTTCCATATGTTTGACAGTTGAATTTTCTGGCACTTCCTTGCCATGTTACTAGAGCTTGCTGTAGATGGAATTTGCTTTCACTGTGTATTATGATATCATTGATTTGATGAATGATCTTCATGAGGCAACGTCACGAGAATTGATTTGTGGGAGTAAACCAGTGATGAGGAGCAACGGATTTGTCCTTCAACGGACTCTATTGCTTATTCTAGCCGTTCTCCATCATCACTTATAACGAAATTCCGTTAAAAGATATATTTGACCAGCTTCGGCATTTTAAACGGCTAGCCTTATTTGTACGATGCTTCCTAGTCCAGGATCGAACGCAGCCCTCAAATTAATAAAGCCGCTGCAGAGAGCATTCGGATGACATATTTTTGTTATTATTTATCTAACGCTAGGAATCCGTACTATGCTAATCCACGCTGTTTGTTTGATAGTGGTTTGTGATACTCCGTTTAGTATCTTCGGAAGTACTGTAAAAGTAGACAAAAACTAGACAAACGATTTTGTTTGAAAAGAAGAAATCGTCCACAGAAATACTCCTAAATGAAAACGCACTTATGGGCAAATTTATTTCTAAAACAAAAAAAAGTACTACATTTTTATAATAGGATAGATAAAAATAGCAAGAGATTCTTCAATAGCAGAAGATCTTCTTCGCCGGCTTAACATCACCTACTACACTCGTAGCTAGTTTTTGGAGACGAGAACGGAAACCAACCTGGGTTAGTACGCCCTTTCAGTTAAAAAGATTACATTTCTAATTCTAGCTTACACATTTTCGTAGTTGCCCAATGGTTCTCCTATGGATCTGCTTCGATTCCAATACTCAGTCAATGAAATTTAAAAAACAAAACACCCTTTCATATTCCATACAAGCCTCACTACACTACCGACTGAAGTCCACAATTTAAACACGAGAAACACCACCTACCTCAGTCCCCATCCATGAAAGTTAGTCATGAGAAAGAATTCAAAATGCTGAAGTTCAAGCGCACGCTGCGAGTGTTTTGTTGGTTAAATGATTTTGGTTCGACATTCCGGTATAATTATCGAAGGGAATTACATTTAAAAGCCTGCATTATGTATACTCAACGATAACAACTTGTATAATTCTCACTGCGAGAGCTTAAACAACATTCGAACATCATGCAATTAGTCCAACGTTGCGCAGCAGAGTAAGCATTACTGTCACTACCCTAACTTGCTGGTAAACCATTTTAGGCCATCATCGGCTGGGCTATCCCAGCAAGTAAGATACGAAAGGACCATGAATATCATGTGCATCGTAAGAGTCAATAGGCTCTATATTTGAATCTGATCACATATGATGTGAGTCAGCACCTCAATACAATGCACCTATTGGGGCGTATACCTAATCGAAATTGTGATTTCATACGATGGTGACTCGGGTCGTAATTTTCGCCACGTTCAAAAAAATTAGGTGCTGGATATTGCGTTCTATAGACAGCCAAAGATAAAACATTGTTCCAGTTTATATAAATATATTGGATAAAAAATTTGGTTATTGCAACTGTATACTACATTACTCCGAATGTTCTACAACAAAGATCGACATATAGACAGCGACTGTTCAGAATCAATATAATAGAATAAATTTCATAGTGACAGCGCCTCGCTGGAAGAAAAACTACGTTCAGCGCTGTTCCTTCTATAGACAGATACTTCTTACATCATCGGGTCGAAAGATAATCATGTAAATTTTCCCTTGCCGTTGACATCATCGAATCGCAAACAAAAGTGGTCCTTAAGCCTACAGTACGTAAAATTTTTTTTTTTCATACCACACGTTGAAACGTAAAAGGTCAAATATTACGACGCTATACCGCGGCCAGAAAAAGGTGCAATATAATGCAACGTACTTTAAGTGCTATAACGGCGCCCTATCCCATAAATCAATGAGTAACAAGATCTCATCTAGTTCCAGTCTCAAAAAAATTTGCATTGTTTTACCAACACAGCCAAGCACTCCGGTTATTTCCCGTTACTTCCTTGCTACACAAATATAAAGAACCGAATAAAAAGTCCAATCAATAAGGTTAATAAGTTACGAGATTTTAAAAACGTCCTGTAGTAGAATAAAGAACACCAGGTTCAAAACCACTGTACCACCACATACGAAACAAATATAATATTCAATGACAATACTGTCTTATAAAAACATTGTTAAACACTGCACTGATAAGTCTAGGTGGTATTCAATATGGTTGGCCTGTTATCCCTCAAAATGAAAATGCAGTTTGTCCTAAATAGCTTAATGAAAAAGTCAATGTGTCAAGATCAACATGTAAAATTGATGAAACTATCGAGAGCGAATAGTATCGGTTCACTTATGTGGGTATGCTTATCTTCTAGTTTCGAGTTAAAAAAAATTATCAAGACCCTGAGCACCTAAGCTTAGCATGAAGCAGGATCTCCGCACAAAAACCTGTTTCTAGAAGTCCAGAAGCTCTTACTAAAAACGGTACATCAATGTCCTTCCACTTGTTTTCCCGATACAACTAAACGAATCAATTTTACAATAACGTCTGGGCTTTTTCTTGCTTTTGTAGTTTTTTTACTTCATTAGTAGGTAAAAGCCTTCGGAAGATTCGTAGGGCTGACACCTAAAAATTCAGGGCGCGGCTGAAAACTTGGACCTTTGACTTGATAGCTTATGCTCATACCTCTTTATTTAATCAAACTTCGACGGCTTATTAAGATTGGCTTGAAACATTGATTTCTAAAATATTTTTCTTATCGGTTTCGTTTACAATAAACAGAATTTGACGTCTCATCTGGTAATGAGTTATATCGTTGGAAGCGTCTTTTTGCGTTTCTAAATTTAACCATAAATGCTACGCAGGCGCTCGTTCGAGTGAAAATCTAATGCAGGAAGAAACAAGATAGAATATGAGAAAAATATTCTGTAACTGCTCTGTTAAATTTGTTTACACAATTGTCGCTTTGTCCGATTGACTTACAAAACAGAAGACCCAATGCGATATCCTTTATGAGCCTCCGAGGGTGGCGCACGCCTTTAAATGAAGATTTTCGATAGTATTTCAGCACAGATTACACTCCCGATACAGCCATTTTATCGTATTATCATCTGAAATTAAAGCATAATTAACGTTGCCAATTCAATAGTTCGCTCAATAAGGGTGTTCTACTTACAACGTCTTGAAACTAATAAATGCTCAACCGGGTGTCGATTCTTGGATGAATTTCGTTCATTTGATGTTTCGCACCTATCTACTCGAGCGAAAAAAACGGTATGAAAACAGCATTTTTATTCAAACAAAGCTAAGCAACAGTGATTGCGATTTTGAACCCCATTCTCATCTATTATTATTGTTATTACTATTACTACCTTTGTCACATATATAGATCAGATATCACAACACAGCATGGGATACAAAATGTACTCTCAAAAATCGGTTTTTACTAAATAATTTTTTTGGAATATAGGCTACTTATTATTAGTCTATCCACTCAGGCATTAACGGCTTGCTGGTCTACAATACAGGTGAAGCGACTAGAGTGCACATATCAAACTGATCTTCTGTGCGTAGAATATGAGCGAATATGTTATTATAAGCAAATTTGTATTAAGCTATTTGCCATTGTTGTTGTCGGTTGTAAGAGGGTTTTTGCTTACTTTCATTATTCTAGGTTAAGAAACATTTTTTTGATTCTACCCAGTGTGGTGGGGTATGATTTGCTTCAATTCAATTGTTGGGCTGTTTTACAAATCAAACTAAGTATATAAGAAACGTTAAGTTCTATTTGAATTTACGATGTACAACACGCCACTGAAGCCTGTTCTTGCAAACATATATCGATGCTTCGATGACAAATAACTATTCCTCTTTGTCCCTTTTCGTGTTGGACATTACATTGAGCTACTGCAGAATTTTATTCGTCATTCCTGATTAATAATTATGTAGTTGATAATACATAATAGCGTACTGTATGTGCGTCATCCTGTGTGATTCGTTTATGTTTTTTTTGCCTATTGCATCTTTAAGAAATGCAAGGGATAAATAAAATAATATTACAAAGTGATAATTTGTCGTAAAGCAGCCTTTCTGATTGGGTGGAGTTCTTTTTGTCTTCTGTTAGGTGAAGCCGCTGATCAATGGGTGAACAGTTCTGCAGAAATCATGCAGCATGTGCCACTACATTTAGTTGACATTATAATAAAGCTGGACATATTGGGCGTTTTCGTATATTGAGTAATGGTAAAACCAAATTTTACTTTAATTAGGTTCATTTCAAAGAGTCGATATTACTACAATAAACTGTATTCTGCGATAATATAGAATTTGGCATAATGATTTTTTATCGGTTTTTAATACTTCTTAAATAATTTATCCTGTATGTAATCATGGGAACCTTTACACCCGCCAAAACTTTAAAAGTACCCTCGCCTTAAAGGAACAGGTGTAAGGGCATAAGTGGCCTTTGGAGAGCAGCTGATCTATAAAAGAAGTTTTATTTAAATCACAAAATATGTAAACAATAAATCATTTTCTAGAGCTATTAATTGGATCTGGGTCCACATTGTGTAGATCTTTGTATCGTATATATAATTAACAGCATTGAATAAATGCTTTTGTTTATCACTGTTAGTACCAGAAATCAACATATTTGTTTATTAAATAGATGGGCTTGATAACAATCATGTACTCTAAAGTAAAAACATGGCCTTACATTTTAACAATTCTCAATATTATGCAAAGTAGCATTCTAATATAATTATGTTTTAACAGCTAATACGAGCGAAAATTAACAGTGAGTTGGCTCAAGGCGGACAACAGGCGTTGTGTGATCCGGGCAAGTCCGAACAGCGGCTTCTTGGGTGGCAGACTCTTAATAGTATAGCACTCTGACAGTAGTACTTACATAGCTCGTTTAGCCATGGAAGAGAAATCATCGTATCCGATTGTTCGCGAAGTTGGTGAAAACTATGAGATTTCAGTGGAAGATGCAACATGCTTTTTGCATCAGTGCTGGTGTAAGCAGGAAACTACCTCAATAAAAAGCGCCGAGGACAAGCTAGTAAAGTGTAGCACAATGGCGAGACGGGCAGTTCAAAAGATGCTTCATACGCTGAACATTGGTACTGATAATAGAGAAGCTATGCTCGATGCGCACGCTATACATTATTTAGTTAGACTTGCATATTTTGGAACAACTGCGTATAAGGAACCAAAACTGAAGTTCTTTGTCGATGATGAAGTCGTAAACAATGCGCGCAAGGAAACTATAAAAGAACTTCAAAGTGAGTACGGTGCTTGTATAGGAGAGGTACAAATACAGTGCATCGATGGAGCAATCCCTGTGCACGAGGGGGTTATTAGCCTATTTAAAGTCGCGTCAAGCGGCACATCTACATTGCCGATTTCCAAGCAGCATCTCTCTGTCGTCACAGACCTACTGTATAACGGCAAAACGTCGTTCAAACGCTCAGAGTTGGCAGCTGTCTATGTAGCAACCACCTTTAGCAACTTCAAGGAAGTCAAGTTTTTGGTTGATGAGTTACGACGCACAATTTCCAACAATTGGAAATCAGCTCTTTCAATTGACTGCATTCGAGCCTTAAATTCAGTATATATGACGATACTGTGCTCACAAAGTGACTTTGTTGCGGACGATAATAGGGTTGAAATTGTTGCTGCCCTTGAGGCATGGGCAGAATCGTCACTAGCGCGGCAGACCGTAAAATACAGATTAGTATTTTTGCTAGAAAAGAACAGCACTCCTAATCGAATCAAAGATTACACTAAGTTCATTTATTATAACGGCTACAAATTTGATGGGACATTGTGGACGGAATCAGAGTTGCATAAAGAAAGCTCCAAGCGGTTCACCTATACAAATGCGGTTGTTAATTCGGAAGGTGATAGAATTGTGTCTGTGAGACCTGGCCCAATAGGCATACTTTCCACCGTAAAAGGTTTCACCCGCAGCACCTACTTGCCGCATGATCCTCTTGGGTACGGGTTCCCGTATACGTTCCAACAATATCCTTATGTATGTCTAGTGTTTAACATTTACGATGATGAATTAAAGCATTATGGGACTGAGCTTTGGCAATGGAAAGAGCAAGCAACGTTTGAGCCAATCAAAACACTACCTATGTGGGAATCAGTGGGCAACATGGTCCGCATCCAGGATGATTGTTTTTACTTGACAGGAAAGCGAAGACATTGTGGCACGAGGCGCGGACCCGATTCAGTTGGAGCTTCTGTGGACGATAAAAGTCATGAAAACAAAGCGGAAGCCGGCTTGTATCTCATGAAGGTTACAAGGATCGATGGTGTCCTGATGGGAGAGGTGAAGATGATAGAGAAATGGACATTAGATGAATACTGTGAGAAGTTTAATACAGAATTTTTCTGCATTGGAGAGACCCTCTACAAACAAGAGAGAAACTTCAACTTCAACGTAAGGCTAATCGATCCAACATTTTATTGTTAACCTTCTAAAAAGAACACATATAACATTCATATAATAATATTCATAAAGTTCCCAGTTGAAGCCAATCGTGGTGAATAGAATGGACTCACATGGTAATAAAGAATGCTGATATGCCTTCAAAAGGTGACATCTTACGGAATATTTAACAGAAAATATAAGCTATTTTATTAGTATTGCATCCAAAGATAAATTTATGCACATATCAATTTACTCTTATGGATTTTCTTAGATCACATACACGCACCTAAAAAAAGTATGCAAAGAAACTGGATTAACAAAGCACACCATACATTAAATAGTAAACAAGCACGAATTAGCTGAGTTTATTTAACTCAGCTCATACTTTTTTGCTGTTATACTATAACATGCCATATTCAGCCAAACCAATAAGGTGATTCATATCATTTTCTGTGTTCCAGGAATGTAAGTCATCACCTACAGTACTGTCGCGTTTAGAAAACGATAAGTTTGTTCCTGCAGGCGAGTTGCAGCCCATTGAAGGAGCAATGCTGACGACGTGGACCCTCGGTGGTCGAATATATGCCGTTGCGTCATTGTACGATGTATCGAACACACCTTGTCCATGTGGATTTTTCGAACTGACTGACATGAACGTTTGGCGGGATCGAACCTTAGAAACAGGGTTTTTCAATGTCCACCCTAAATGGAAACCTGCAAATAATAGCGCTTGGCGCGATTTTGTCGTTGAGCGCACTTGAACCGCAGTGATCATAGGGAGATCATACTATAAAATTAGGAGGTCTAAAAGTGTCGCAATAGGATTATGAAAATCATTCGAGTTTGTACTTCACCATATGTGGTAGCCTAAACAGTATCTGGTGCATGGGCATATTGATGGAGGAGTCGCCGTATAATGAATAAGCAAATATAGCATATTTAACCGTTCAATTATGATTAAATCGATCATATTCGGATAACTGTATTTTATTAACATGGCACACTCAAACGAGCCATTTACCTAAAACTATAGAAACAATAAATACACAATCTAGACTGCTGAGGCAAATAAATATACATATATTTTGTTTTTAATCTGTACCTACATTACCATCTTACTAGCTTATTTAGCAGCATCCAGACTATAACCATCGGGTACAGGTTGCAGCCCGCAGGCCATCATTAAGGCATTATAATGCGTGGGTACTTTCTGACATTTCTTATATAAGCCTTTGATTTGTTTAGGTGTTAACTGATAGAGGTTGTCGGGGTCACGAGCCATGGCAGTCCATTCATCAATGCCATGTTTAGAGATCATCTTCGCAAGAAACATCATGTCATCACGCAGCATAAAGCTACGGTCACGTCGGGCCGCGTTGGCTTCCATCTCGATTTTTTCCACCACTTCGTATTTTGCTGGAGCTACAAGTTTTTTTTGTGTCGGGTCAAGCTCCAGCTGTCGGACAGTAGAAAAAATAAACGAATTGCAACAATACAGACAATGATATAGATTAATAAATGTTTGTAAATCGAAAGTTAATGAGAGACCTTGTTCAAGTTTAATGAGCAATTACTAACAAAGCCAGTGACAAAAAGCAAAGTAGAAAATACACTACAGTACACCTTAATATTCGACAACATAATAATAGAATGCTCTGAACGTTTACAGTGCACTATATCTAGAACATATGCATGCTGGAAATCTATAACAACAAATTGTCCTTTTTTCACTTGTAAATCAGTGCGTTACGATATACGCTTCATAATATCATGGTGGTCACACGTGTACACATAGGCCGTAAAAATGCATACCTTGTTGGCGTCATAAAGTAATCCAGCTTCCTCGATATTTCTACGAAATGTATGCTCCTCATTCCAAACAGCTTTGAGTTGTTCACATGCGACGCGAGGAGCATTCCTTCGCTTTAACTTCTGGCGGGCCCGTTTCGGATTTATGTTGATTTTTTTACGATTTGCGCGACGTCTCTTTGCCTGACCGCCCATTATATAGCCGTAACAATTCACCGAACTCAGCAACTACACAACTGTCACTTCAAATCGTCGATTCCTTTGAAGCAATAATATATATTTGCATCGCAGCAATACACTAAAAAAAGTAATATTGAGTTAATAGTTATTCGTTGAACCCAGGTGCCCAAGCTCGTACATCCCTCTACAGACCTGCTCGAGGGCACGTATCAAAACAAAAGCACGTGCAAACAAAGCGGCCGCTATTTTGGAGCTGCCCGCGCGAATTTAAAAGTAACCGCTGTTTACTGACAAATTAGTGATTTACCCCGTTGGGAGGGTGGCAATAGATAGAATACGTTGCCACTTAAGTTAGCAGCCGTTGAGGAATTAGTACACAGTTACTCTACTTCTCATTTGTAAAACGTAAAGGTGTAAGGGTTACGCAGTTTCTAATAATTTTTTTAGCTTGTTAATCTTAACATGAGGTTCTCATCTATGCAAGCAAACAGCACTGCTTTAAGCTGCGTTCATTTCAAATTCATTTTTTTTGAGGGTCAATCAGCGATGAATGCGGCATATTTACTTCGAGGCGTGTCCTTTCTAAAGGATAAATTATGTAGTGCAGTTCAAACAATGCTCTAAACTTATTAAATGATAACTATTTCACTACTACCACTCGAGAAAAAAGTTCTCAATTTTTATGCAACAAGAGAGAATGAGTAAAATCTGAATTTCTCGACGCCTTCGAAACGTACGACTCTGACTGTATAAGTAAAGATTAGTAAAAATAGTACTGGTTCTGACATATTGAGTATGGAGAGTGTGGATTGCACAACATTTTATTAATAAGCCAGTGCAATTTAACAAAATTATGAACTTTTTTTGACCCAACGTATGTTTGTGAAAAACTTCATACTAAAAAGACCTCTTGTACATAAAAGTAAAATGTCTACACAGTCTAATTCAGTAATGTGCTTGTGCATGGAACGTCGCTGCTTTAAACTAATAAACATGCGCTCTTAAAATGGTCAAACTGTTCAATTCGTCTTAGCTGATCTTCGCCATAGTTTCATCCCTCATGCTTTCGAAATTAAGCTTGCTATGTTTATTTAAGAAATGAGCGGATTGTTGTTCGATCGTTTTTTCCTTAACGCGAACACAATCTGTTAATTTTGCTTGGTAAAAAAAAAAGCCAATATCTTTCTTATAGGATGTACCACACGCTATTACAAGGAGGTAGTGGCATTCTTTGTTGCAAGCTGTTGCAAAAATATTCTTGATGTCATACGTTTTAATTGTTCTAGGTGACATTCAAGGGGTTGTTTCCTCGCTTATTTTACAATTTTTAAATTATTATGTCTAGATTTTTTTAACCAAATCTCGGTAAATGGAATGAAATGAAATGAAAAATTACGTATAATGACAGACGCATGTATCTTAGCATGATCTTCTGTGTTCAAAATTCAAGATCCAGTTTTTTTCGGGTCAATATAGTTGGTATATATATATATATATAAAGATCTATATGGGAAGAAACTTCAAATAATTAGTGTCCGTTTTTGTCTACTATGACACTTCTCTACCGCTATTTGTTTGCTAACGATCAACTGTCACACACAACTAGAAAGGTCTTTCTGTGCACAAAGTTTTTACTGTAGGGGGCGGCTTTGGTTCGACGAAATCGAAAAGCTGCCTAGACAATTTGGTGTAAGGATGGCAGGGACAAGAAGGGCTCTATAGCATAACGTGTTACTCATGAGTGGCTTGCAAATTAAAAAAGTAACGTTTTTGTTCGCTCTTCGGGTATTCCGAATTCATCAAAGATTGTTTAGACTTACTTTTAAAATAGGACATCTACAAAATGAATTTACATCTCTCAACGAAAGTGTCTTCACCGTATGCAAAACAAATATCCAGAGTTGCTTACGTACCCTTTTAATATTAGAAAAAAAAAATATAAAATGAACCAGGTGTTTAGAATGCTGATCTTGCTACTTAATAGACTACTTTTAAAACCTGAAGTAGAACACATAATGACAGTGGACTCGTAAAAAAAGCTTTCTAAGTATACATTCAAGGTAAAGCATTTAAATTAAGGAAAAACTTTAACAGGCTGTTGCTTATAACGGACATAAATTTGCTACTATTTTTAGTACCGGACAAAATTTGTCTAGGATCCTAAATTAAGGATGGTGGTAATATTGAATAAACAAAACTGTCTGGATTGACAGTCTTAATACATGCAAAGCATTTCGTCAAAACATCTTTCTGGAGCATACATATATTCTCCAGCGTCGGCAAACGAAAATTGGAAAAAGAGGCAATAAACAATAATAACTAAATCGTGTAGCGAATCTCTAGGGCGGTGTTTTGTCTTGTTAATCTCTCTCTAGTGATACACAACGAAATGTGGACGTTGCTTTACCAGCGACGCTATTTCGCTCTTTTGCATGATCGACGAATACTCCTAATGCATATTTATATAGATAGTTAAACTTATTTATTATTTCATATTAACATATATATGACAATATGATATATTAACGTTAATAAACATTTGTCTACTTTACTGTATTGTAAAGATTCTGTTTCTTCTTCTGCGATTTGAACTGCCGCGCAACCAGATCTGAACCTGAAAACGTATGCAACGATGCGGTATTGTTGTCGCGAACGCAGGTCGCCCAGAACCCTACAATATCCGCTGTTACCATCGTTTCGACTGTTTAACATAATAGGCCATCCCACTCGAACAAGACTTCACTGTAATATAATATTTACGCTTGTTCTTACAATCAGTTGCGACTTGCGCGTAGCTCAAAGTGGGCAAATCTCGCTGACTACTGGCTGAGCCTTGTCGCACTGTGACATTATAATTTCATGCACCTTCACTGACCTGGCGCTGCCAGACGAAGCTCACAAGGTCCTTTCGAGTCTACCGGATCGCCTATAAGGTGAAACAATGCAGCGTCCGATTGAATGTCGAATCGACGCTCTAAAATAGAAAACATGAAATGCTTGAAAAAGTAGCTTTAAAGGTTCTGTCTTCCGCTAAAAATATATGGTTATTCGGTTCGGTAAAAGAATTAAGTGTGATCTTGTGTTGATAAGAAATCATCGAAGAAAAAGCGTGACGCACGAAATTATCTATTTGACGGCATGAAAGCACGTGTTGCCTGTCGCGCTTCAAAGAAAAATCTTATCCACAAAGCTCCTGTTTTTTCCGCTATCTCTGCTGAGAAATGGGAAATTTCTGGGGGATTCACTGCTTTCGCTGCTTGTGTAGACTACTACCAGCTAAATTCTAAACTAAATCTTCAATAGCTATAGTTTTCTTGGCTATGCTGGCAATTGCACGCGTATTTTTCCGATGTTTGGACGGTACAGAAAGGTCTGATACGAGTAGATCGTTGACGCAAAACTGCTCTGAAGCCCAGATGAGAGCTTAATACTTTCCAGCCTTACGGAGAAGTTTCCAAGGGCACGTGTGGGTTTTTTCCTGCAAAGCTGATAATACCATTCAAGACTGGATCAAGACCCTGAAGATGACTTTGCCCATGGTCAAGGTAGACTGGGCCGTGTTCCGTTGTGATGCAATGTTTTTTCGCAATGTATTTTGGACTCAATTTATATAGTACTCATATATATATATATTATATATATATATATATATATATAAGTCTGTCGACTATAGGACTCCTGCGTAGCAGCAGCAACTTGAGATGACGGAATCTAAACTGAATCAATGTTTTACTGTCTAGGGGCTTCTAGCCTTAATTTTCCATATTGATTTATCGGACATGACGGTCTTTGGTATACTTTTCAAATAACTTAGATCATGAGTTATAATTTTCGATAGTAGGTACAAAGAGACACAGAAAACAAATACCGAGTACGTTTGCGAGCTCCTTACGTAGATAGTACTTGTAAAGCTAGGTTGAGTGAGCTACACTAATTAAATAATCGAAACGCTGTTCCTAGATTCATAATTGATGATTTCAATATGTATAAACAATTTTCACTTCGATGAATACATTAACATATATATCAATCGATCTTTAGATATTGGACCTCTATGGTTAGATTTGAGCGTCCAATATCGCTGTTAAGCATTCCATGGCTGGCTTCCAGCACAAAACGAAGTATGTACGGCCTGTTCGAACCTAGACCGGGACGTATCCCTAAGATTAGAAGGCAAAGACGTTACCCTCTGAGCTATCACCGGGAAAAAATATCGGACCTAACCGGGCCCGCCGTTTTAATCTAACTACTGTATTCAAGAGCCGCCAGTTAAGCATTAAGTGTTTACATCCGAAATTCTGCATTTGTATTTAGCACATGTGCGTACCCATACGATTGTTTTAGGGCTTCCTATCGCAATTGCTGCTTTCATGCCCGTTACTTATCCAATGTAGGGACTGTGTATTAAGGTTTTCGGTTACACATAGCTTCACAACTTAACACATGTATAAGACCCACTTGCCTGTTTTTTTTCAGCAAACACATAATGCGCTCGAAAGTACGCCCGAAAAAAGGACACAGGCAATTTCTGTATGAGTTTTCGCCACACTAACAGCCATGTTTCTTGTAGACCGCTTCATGACATCACGGCTATAGTAATGTTACACCACAACGTCCATGGCTACCTGCATGCAAGCTTGTTGGTGGCTCCACAATTGTGCACGACACTCTGAAAACACGATTGAGGAAGCGGTGGCGCAAAAACACGCCAATCCCTCAACCTCAGTCAATCCGTCGAAATCCCCAGAATCATGCCCAGTGGAGTCAGTTTGAATGACCTACGACCACGCTGTGGTTCCCTTCCCTTCGATCTAGCCTGCCAAAGAGTCAGCAGGAGCGCGTCGCAACGTTCTTATTGCCTCACTTCAGACCCATTCTGCTGACCCATCTCGTGAAACTATTTGTTCCTCGCAGCTTCTACATCAGGTCGTTGGGCCTCTGCGACCCTTTCCTTCAATCGAACAAGGGTCTCTCGCCTCGGAGAGCACCTCACTGGGTAACCCTGCCTGCCTGTTTGCCTGCCTGCTGACCTTGTCGATTGCCAACGAGCTCTCGCACGTTGCCCGTTTCTATAGGTAATAGACGATAAGCTTTCTGTTGTGAATTATCCCTGATTGTTTCGCTGTGTCCACAGCAGAGTCAAGTGAACGCAACTCGCCGTGAAACGACAATAGCCTCTGTACCAGTCTAATCAGTGTCTAATTCATCTGTACGAACGACAACGAATTGTCGATGGCGGATCTCGGAGGACCGCTAGATATCAAAGCACCCGTTATTTGGGTTCTGGGCGGTCCCGGTTCCGGAAAAGGTACTCAGTGCGCGAAAATCGTCGAAAAATATGGCTATGTGCATATCTCATCCGGCGATCTGCTTCGTGATGAAGTAGCAAAGGCATCGGTTCTCGGCCAGCAACTCAGTGAAATTATGAGGAAGGGTGAACTTGTTCCTTTAGAGACTGTTCTACAACTATTGAAGAATACAATTAAAAACAAGTCGACCTCCGCTAAGGGCTTCCTTATTGATGGATATCCCCGGACCGTAGATCAGGGTGAGAAGTTTACGTCGCTCGTGTGCCCCGTTAAAGCGATTCTGTTTTTCGACCTCAGTGATGACCTGATGGCGGCACGATTGCTCGAGCGCGGGAAGAGCTCGGGCCGTGCTGATGACAATGAGGAGACGATCCGTAAGCGCCTTAAGACGTTCCGCAACGAATCCATGCCAGTCGTTGATAAGTACAGGGATATGGTTCATACGATATCGTCTACGGACCCCGTCGATGTGGTTTTTGAAAAAGTTGCAGCTTTTATGGACAAGCTCCAGTAAGCGTTCTGCTGATGACACTGAAATATAACTTGATATGCGCGATCGAAGGTAGCTAACTTCCTAACTAAACAAAATAAAGACAAATCATCTTCGACAAATTATCTGTTCCATTATCATCGATGCGTGTAAGGAATCGACGAAAAGATCGTTTAGTACGAGACAGCTAGCCTTCTCACTCCCTCCCTTATTGAAGGCTAGAAAGAAAAACAAAGTGCCCTATATATAAACTTAACAATAATAAAGAGAGAATTGTTCCACGAGCGCATGTGAAACTGCCTCTGGACAGAATACATGCTTCTTCATATGTTCTGTGACCCCTATTAAAAAGAAACAATGATAGAGTTGTAAAAAAATTTACCGTGATGATAATCGCACTAGCGGTAATGACACACATGCACTTCTTATGCTCATTATTATTGCTGACCTTTTTAAAATTATGTATACACACACATTTTAAATCGAGCAGAAGACAAACGAAAACGAAAATCACGAATGTTATCGTCGCTCAAAACTGAATTAACTCAAAAACCGACTAAAATTGTTTCGTTTACATAACAAATTGCGACTAAGTCCATTGAGGCCAGTAAAGCTAGACTGTTTATTGTGATAGATAGATAGATAGTTATACGAAAAGGGATAGAGTTGTTCGTGATGGACACAACTAGATCTGGCTATTAGACTTCGGTGACGTTTACGTTTCCGTAGAGCAACTGTAACACCTTCACAAGGTGATCCTCAGAAAGCAGAACAATCACCTGCTAATGCCGTTAGGCAAGTAAGCCTCAATTTAAAAGTTTAAATATAAATAAAATTCATCTTTCAATCGTTCGCGTTTTTTTCTGTCGGATCGAAACTGTTTTTCAAATTAAAGTCGAATTATACCGAGCAACTCCGCATGCTAATACGCCTCATCAATTACTAACAGTGTAGTCTGTTCACTTCAGTGCGAACTTGAATTCTGTTTAACACGTCGAGAGCTTGGCACGTTACTACCTACTATAACAATAATAAGTTACTGATACAGATTGAACAAAAGTGCTTGACTTCTCCGTCACGTTCTAAGCCGAGAATTCCGAGTTATGATTTTCTTTGAATGCTGTATGCAATTTCAACATGTAAGCAAGCTGTTCGCTAGATTTTATCGAGCAACATCGATAGCCTTTAAGGATTAGGTACTCGCGTAACCTTCACGACGGCCACCTAAATACGTAACGATGTCTACCGCTATCTATTATCTAGTAGGGCACATTTCTATGGTCGTACGGTTTCTTCCGTTTTTTGACGATGGCATAGCAGCGTTGTGCAAAACACCCAAATTTCCATATTATTGTTGACACATAAGCAATAGCTCTAAAAAGAATTGTCAAAAAACAAACGCAGAAACAAACCGTCCTCTTTACTCGTGTTGATCTTTGTACTAATCTAGAACTAGTTCTGAATCAGCGGCCAATATGGACGATAATGGCTAACTGAAGCTCTAGTACGGGAGTTTGAAAATAGTCACTAGCCTATCTGCTCAAATTAGCGCGTCGGCGTATATGCCTGAACGTGAGAGCTGCTTACGAAGCACTGCTATCCTCAGTCACCCATATGGCATCGGCGAGTCGAGGGTGTTACTGTCCAGAAGACGCTCGTTCTACATATCATGGTTCAAACACATTTACAATACTTCGATGTATCTCGGCCAGTTAGGGCAAAAATTACATTGGCAAGCGAGGGTTACAGCAAATCGCTGAAAAAAACGCAACGCAATTAGCTTCGTCTTGTGTTCGACTAGCGTTACGAAACAAAGTCTGGTATATACATCGATTGGCCATTATCTCTTAGTACCGAATTGGTTTTCTTAATTCTATTAAAGGCATACAATAAGGCAAACAATAGTATAAATCCCTTGATTAGGAAGAACAGAAAGGTCGTTACCTTTTAGCTAGGTCTGAATCGCAGACACCCATATCGTTTCTGAGGGTGAGCCGCTCATATGGATCCAAATATTCCATTCGCTATATAAGAGCCGAGTCAAATGCCGAAAAAAAAAAACCCTTACTTAACTATGCCAAAATCTAAAAATAAAAACTCGAAAAAATCATGTGACAAATTATTTAAATATTGCATACTAACGGTGAGACTATGTGATAAAATAAAATTCGTTATAGAGGGTAAAAAGCCAAATGTAGGCAATTCAGGTAAATTACTACTGTTCTGTATTTAATGGAAGTATCTTACTCTAAAGCTGTATTAAGCCTAGTTTCTCGATTACTAAACAGCGTAAAGCAGTGAACTTTATCGTAGTTCTTATTTCACGCCGAAGATCGGACGATATCTGTGGTACTTTAAACTCACAATTAAGTAACCTATAACCAAATGTAGCAAAAACTTATGCGTTTGACGCCACTATTCGTCGCTTCGCTCGGAATTCAGTTTCATGAGGTCCGCCGTCCATGATATACGCGGAGAAAACTATTATGAATTAGCTCCTAGTAATAGACTCGGTGGCGAAGCCTGGCCAGGAGGCCTTATGCGGCCTGCTTTGTGGACAGATCCACACGCAAAGTATAGAAGGCCATCGGTTACAATCATCATCCAAAGGTTAGTAGATTCGTCTACAAGCTTTGCCACGCAGTCGTGTCTGCTGATTCAACCAATCTAATTTGCTAATGTCATACTACGCCCAACGTAAACCATATTTGTATATACAACACTAGTTTCCTTTACCCTGTTTCACGTGGTACATAACGCGTGACGCGATCGTGTTATTCTACTCCTGGAGTGCTCCAACAACCTGTTGTATTATCGTTTCATCAGCCTGTTCTCATTTTACTAAACTTGTTTATGTTACATCTGAGTAAAGTGTACTAGTTCCGAGAGTCTGTTGCAGCTACCCAAGTACAATAATTCTGCTGTTCTAACTTAGTCAATAGGGTATCCTATCTCAACGATCGTACAATTATTCTACTATTGCTTTGCTCCGGTTTTAGCCAAACGAATCGACAGACGCGTCACAGTCCGCTGCACGAATTTTGTTATCCACCGTCATCTCATTGCAGTGATATTATTCTTTCATTGCAGTGATATTATTCTTCCATCGCAACAACTCCCTCCCATCCTCCTAATGCATTTGATCCGTTACCACGGCACATGCATTCTGATACCTGATGAAATGACCAGTCCCGACCTAAAAATATCTAATGAGGCACAAGACAGACTTCATGTTTTCCATATGACATCACTCTGTCGTTAAGGCCTCGTCGAGTCCAAGGCCTTGCAACCTGTCATTAGGTCACCTCCATTCCATCATCCTATCAAGAAGTAATTCACTTTTTTTTTCTTACTAGAACTTGTGTCTTCAACGCCCTACTACGCGATTTTTCATTGTAATTGTTCCATTTGCATATTTCGATATCGATACTCACTGTTTTCGCAAAACACAACTCTACCCGCCAATTGCGGGCAAACGCAAAGGGTCCGATTTTATTTTAAAGATTAGTTTTTATGATTTTTTTTGATCCGATTTATTTTGTCAGAAGTCCAGGTAGGTCCATAAGCCTACAAACGTAAGCGACTTTCCAGCATAAACTCTTTCAAGGAGTTTTGATGATCAGTAAACAGATGGCTTCTCAGTTTAGTCTAGAAGTGCTCAAATTATCCTAAACTAGACACTTCTTCTGAGACGAACTAACATCTATATATAGTTAGGATATAAACAGAACAACTGTTCCCAGGATGAAGTTCTATCAGTAGCCAACAAAAGACCAGTTAAAAACAACCACTTTTGGAAAGCTAGTCAACTCACATATGAACGTACACATATATGCATAGGTTATAGGTTCGTGCGTGAAGCCATGTGTAAGGCCACTAAATTTCGCGACATTAAAGTGTTGCTACAACCAACGCTGATGAGGGGCGATTTAAAATCGTAGAAACCCCTTACACAAAATGCATATAAAATTAGGGGTATACTCGATTTTGCGTAGTGTAAAATAATGCTCCGAAAATTTAGTTAGCTAATTAATAACTTGAAACGTACTAGTCTAAATTATGCTTAGCTATTAGACGCACGCCTCTTGCTTAAGGATAGTTGAGCAGGCTTTAATCAATGTTGTGGAGGTAACAAAAAAAGGAGCGTCACACAAAAATCATACATTGTAAATAATATCCATCAATTAGTGACCTATTTCGTACGGCAAAAGCAACATTTGTGTCAGTATGTCACTGGCTGCTCATTTGAGTTGAAAGGCGGTATAGCTTGTTGAAAAAAGTAACAGCACACAATGTTCAAGCTGTGCGGGGCAAGGATATTGTCAAGAAGAGAATGTTCCACTTTTTCAAAATAGCTAGGTAGAGAACTTCATTATGTGCTTGACATAAATAGAAATTGTAGATACCCTACATATTGCATTATATATAGACATGATAACATTTTTAGTAAAGTTGGATTTCTACATTAAAAGAAACATTTTAATCATATTTGCAGCTTAGAAGAATAAAACAAAGAGTTAACTTTACAATATGACTCACAATTAAATTATGACAAGCGCCTATAAGCTCTAAGGCAACGCTTGTAATGATCCTAATTAGCTTCTGCTGTACGGCCCGTTTTCGTTGGGACTGTACAAAATCTCTATATACGCTAATCTGGTCGACTGGGAGGGACTACAGGCCTCATAAAATGGAGATCACCATCTTATTATATTTCGTAATCAAACACCCTCTTTGATAGGCAAGAGGTGTGTGTATTCGACGCCATGACTGAATCGGCCGCCAAGGGTTCGTTGTCGTCAATCAGGTTTTAACCTGATACATACTGTGCGGAAAAATTAACTGAAGAAATTTATTTTTATTTAGCAAAATAGGTAATGAATCGTTACAGCTTCACGGTTACTGATCGAAATACATATTCAATGAATTGACTGAAATAATGAATCCGATATTCCTTTATTTATTCCAACTATTGGTAGCACGGTTTTCAGGTTGGCAATTACTGAGAAGACCATTTGCGCGTTTTTCACAACGTATTCGCCTAATTATACTGGTTGGAACAAACGTAGGCTTAGAGTTAAGTAACATCTAGGTCTACAGCTAGAAAAAATAATCCAAGTTATTGGAGTACTTTTCAGTAGCTATTGTCTATTTTTATCTAGAACAAAAAGGTTTTTCTCCGATATATATTAAATGTGCAATTCCAATGTGAGCCTTAACAATAATTGTCATTTACCAATAATTATATATAACTATTAGTTATATACACTGTACATAAATAATAATACCTTTAACACAAGTACTATTTTTGACGTAAGTGTACTAGAAGATTTGCTTGCTGATCAAATTTGTCTGATATTGCAGGATTGGATTTTTGGGATCACCTTATGGTGAAGCCATGTGCGTCTAGTGAATAGCACGTGTATGCACATCTGCTATCAATAACTTGCGTTTCGCTATCGACCGTTAAAAAGCAAATAAATAAATATTAATTAAGCTTGTTATTACTTGATCGTAGTCAAAAACCATCGCTAACTTGATGTAAAACTAAAACGGCAAACTTTCAGGTCAGCGTATATTTTAAAAATCGAGTTTACGCACACACGTTTTTTAGGCTTGAGCAAATTTCAAAAGTCAGAAAAATAAGTTTCTGGACATTATATGCGTTTGGAAAGTGGTTTGTCTTAATTATTGATATTAAATGTGCCTCAACAATACTTGGACAGCGCCCTCAAGTATTCGATTGTCCTCTGATTTATTCCTCGAATCTAGTTACACCGTTACCATAATTTTATTTACTACCCTGGTAAGTATCTAACTCGTAATATATATGGCATATTACAAAATAAGTAACGGATTATAATCAGCTTGCTCGAAGATCAGCTAACGGTCTTCGTGGTCCGAGATAGGAGACACGATAAAATCCTGACGTACCACAGGTATGGACAAGCACCGATGCTCCCTTTTTTCAAGGCTTAAAGACCATACCGTAATGCTCGGATAGCTTTCCGCTTTCAGGGAGCTGCAGTCTCAAAATGAGAACGAAACTCATCAAAGAAAGTCAGATTGTAGGATCCGGACGTCAGTTTTGTCGAAGGTTGTCTTATTAAGGTGTTGAGATTGCCTTGTGTTCCAGTCTGGTCCTCACAGGTCGACTAGCAGTAACGCAGCGCCCTGGTAAGTGCAAACATGAGCAACAGTAGAATTCGATTGGCTTGTAAAATACCGAGGAGTCCTTTTCCTTCAACATTCATGTGTTTTCATCGTCATACGCTCTTTATATCTTTCATCATGACCCAAGAAGTGGTTCCTCTGTAGTAGACTGCTAAGTAATCACCGAGAGTGTGAGAGCAAAACTCAACCCGCGCTGCTAACACCTCGTACTTCGCTTGGCATAATGACATAATGATAGCACACAGTAGACGCGAAAAGGCTTACAAGTGTTTTCGTAAATAAAAATTCCCGAAATACGTAATGTAACGGATAAGCTCTGCTTGCTCTCATCACAAGCAACTTACGTAGGTAATTAATTGCTGTGATCTCGACGTTACAGAGCTGATGGCTTTTGAAGGTTCAAATGATGAAGTTCTGTCGCGCATTTTCACCACGGACCATTCGATTTGAAATACGTTTAAAGGAAGTTCGATTGAAATATCGTCTTTGTTTTAGGAGCTCATTCCTGGAACTGTCAAAGAACTCAAAGTTTGGTCCATAATGGCAGTGAGGTTTTTGCACAATTATTAAGCTGACAGCTTAATAAACGCATGTGCGCTATTGATCCTCTGTAGATTCCAACCTGTGGAAGCAGTCGGAGTTTAGTGGCGATATCTAAATGTACCGATAATTCTTTTAGGAGGAGCACTTTTAAAAGTGCTCCTCTAAGAAGAAACAATTTTTTAAAATTTTTATTGAAGCTCCACGTAGGTATCCCTGTTCGTTTATCAAATACCATTTAACCCCTTTTGTGCGTCTTTGCTTCGAGTATCTTCCTCAACATCAGTGCCATAACCACGATAGTGTAATCGAGTTACTGTAACAAGATAATTAGACCATGGATGTAACCGAACATCAAAAGCAGATTTACAAAATCAAAACTATGAGAAAATTGTAGCGTGCTTTGTCTAAACACTTATGTGCACACGTACTTTTTGATTAAAGAAAGCGCTCGTTTGACTACATATAAGCATTAATATGCGCTTTTCGTCATCATCGTCGGAAGCACATATTGCCTTTATTAGCTTTTATAAAGTGCGCTCCAAGTGTGATAAGTCAGTTGCTAATACGCAGCTGTAGAGTTTCTCAATTAGTGATACCGTCCATTATAATAAATCATCCTTTTATTTTTTGCTGTAAGGATTTTGGAGAGCAAGAGCGCTGACAAATGTTTCAGATTCGTTTCTAACATCGACACGTTTCGCTCGACTCAACGACAGTGGCAACTAATTTCGGTGGCATGCTATTGGTACGCTACCGAACTTCAAAATTCGCGCCACAGCCGTCCGCCGTGTGTCGGGCGAGCAGAAGACCGCCCGGGTGGCCCAAGGACGTCACAGCAGAAATCATCATACGATGACCAGAACAAACGTTCGTATGTTTGGGATTAAGTGCGAGTGCGTACCTGTGATTTACATTTGCCTTGGAAAAGTGGCACATTTGTACCTGTGAAACAAACGCATTGCTCGAAAGTCGTCTTCGAGTTCACACCCTCTGTAGTTAGTAGTGTTCAGGCTCGCGTTTACAATTGGTGATCGTAGTTCGTATAATGATGTGCTATTAGTATACGATAATCCAGTGAAGCTGTCTTGTTTTCTCGATATGTTTATTACTCACTGTATAGTAGCTGTTCGACCCGGGCCGGTAAGGCCGATAAGATGTGATACGCTGGGATACAGCTGCTTTGCCAGCCACTCTGCTAGGAGTGTGGCACACATTAATCACCGTACCGTCGACAGAAACAGTTCTACACTGGTCTACCTACTGACTGACTATCGTCATGTGCAGAGGCGGTTACGCCATGCTGTTGTTTCGTTAGTTCTGATCCTGGTTTAGTCGTCAGTTTGTAGGACCTCATCCGATGTTTTGAGCATGGCCTCTGGTAGCCAAGCAGGCAAGCGCAATGTCTTGCGTGCGTGACCTCCTCGAGGTGTGGCCTGCTCGGGTTGTAAATAAGACAATTAATCATGGATATGATGATGATGACCATGATGATGATGACAATAATACCAATGACACATGTGGATTGTAGTAAGGACCAAGGCAAGAAGGAACGGGTCGAAACTCCGCGGGATCTGTAAGTCAGAAAAAGCACGCGCTGGTTTCGCTCGCTGACTCACCTGGCAGTGCCAGCTCGAACGCGTTTGGTAGTCTTCGTCGATCTGAAACGCTGTTGCTGTTCGTAGCAGGCACACGTCTGCGCTCGATCTGTGAATGGTGAAGCTGCCATTTAACTAACAACAAAACTACGACGCGGTTGTCGCGCTCTCTAAATAAAAAAGGATCTTTTTTCTTGTTCCTCATTCTACCCCTAGCACCCATCTATTGTATCGAATTTGGCTCTTGTATAGTGTAGTTAGTTGATCATTGCTAGCTAATCTGTATGTGGTGATCGTATCCCTCGCTGGCCCGCTGCAATTTCCCGCTAAAGTCACATATAGTAAAACGGACACAGTATCATTTTAGCTTTTTATTCTGGTATACACAGATCTTTTGCACAGAGAAGACAATGAACGTGCGGTCATCCGTTAATTCAGAGTTGGTTTCTCCTTGAAGTTTGGCAAAGCGTCGACGATATTCATTTGCTCATTATTTTTGATCCCATTGAGTTAGTATAATCGTACGGTTACTGAAGTTGAAGTCAATCATTATGGCGAGATTCAGATGAGTGAAATCCAATTTATTATGATAACGTTTCCAACCCTTCCAAAAATCTAGCCACAACTCCAATTCGTTACGAACTCGGTTCAATACGACAATCGGCTACGACCAGATCAAGCCAAAGGATATCGGATTATCGGGGCTTTCAGCGTTTTGTGCCAGTACCAAGCCTCTATTGGGTCGCGCCTCGTTGCCGAGTATATAAAAAGGTAAATAGAGAACCAAGAGTAGTAACAGCGACGGCTTCTATCGGATTGTCGATTATTTCTTCGTGCGTGTGGCGATGCAGCAACAGCAGCAGCAGTAGCAGCAGTATTCTATGGCCAAACAGATGAGTTGTGAGCGAGCAGGCAAGCGCTGATAAATGTCGTTCTAGCCGCCGTCGTTTCTGACCTAGAAGCGACGGCGAAAGAAACCATATGGTTGATTCGTTGGTTACACGGTTACTCCGTTCGTACTGGCCGGTAGCCGTAACCTGTTTTTGTTTAGTAGATTTCAATGAGGCCGATGACGACAATCTAATGCGTCACTTTAAACGACGTAACATTTCAATATGCTATGGCTCGAGTGGATTCAGTCGCAGAAGAAAGACAGATCCAGATACAACGTTTTATATTCAGTCGAAATAATTTAATTGCTATTAATAACAACAATAATATCGATAATAACAGCAAAACATATAAACTCAAGGTCATGTTTTGCAGTCTTCGCGGACGTACGCTATAAGTATTTGCATTTATATTCCGCACGCATGTATTCGGGTTTCAGTCGTGGAGTGTAATTTTTGCTTTATTGGCCAAAAGTAAAATTGTGTACGGCCAGCAGCATTTATCAGCAATTAACGGTTATGATACATAGAAATTTAAAAAAACGAATGGTCAATAACTCGATAGTAGTTCGTCAGTTGTTTGGTGGGAAATACATATATGGCAAGACGGCTTCAGTAGGTAATAGGTATGGTTCCTCCATAGTAGGTTATATTTTGTGTTATGAGGTGACAGACATTTGTCGATCAAGGCAGTTTTCTACACCATGGTTAGATATTTTTTACAGAGGACATCAGTCCACGTTTAGCGCACCTTTGGTTGGTGCATAATCGTTGAAGTTAATGGCCGACGCTACTTCGCCAAAATTGCCATCGTTTAAGCAATCTAATACCATAAACATGCCTTCCACATATTACCGAACCGATTCAAATAGCATCTACATCTAGATCGATGTACGCAATATTGCGAGTACAATTTGTGTGTTACATTCCAGCAGGAGATGCCAGAGTAGCCATAGATTTATACTGCATTACCATATTATACCAGATATGATAAGGCACTGTGCATCACAATAAAATAGAACGTTTCTATGATATATATTCTTGTACCGTCACTTAGTCGTGAACGCCGTCTAAGGACGATGGCGGCAACGATAGCAACATCATCTAGGTGAGCTATAACCTTAGCCCAATGGGACCTGCCTAGATATACAGAAGAACTAACAAGTGTGCGTTCTGTGTGTTTGATACGTTATGTGCTGGTATGTCTGTTCTTGGGTCCATCTGCAACCACTTCAACAACGCCTGCGAAAACAACTGCCATTATCGCTGAGCCTGTCAGTAGTCCCAACCAGGATTAGGAGAAGTTTACGGAAGCAATGGCAGATACAACGTGTTCGATCAAGTTTGGGCCTGAGTGGCTGCGTGTACTAAGTGACGCCGGCGGAACTGGGGGCGGGAATAGCCTCCAGCCGCAGTCAGCTGGCGGCTCTGGTGGATCCCAGAGTTCGGGTTCTCTTAACTCGCTGAACTCTATCTCTGGTCATCATGGTCCACCTCGAAAGTATCCGCTCGCACGATATCGGTTAGTAAAGATGTTTACGACGCCAATAACGTAGTGATGTGAATTTAGCTCCGAACGAGAAGTTAGGGGCAAATCAGCGTAAACAGGCAGAAACGACGTCCAAAATAAGTACAAGGATAGTACAAGGATTGCTTTCAAAATTATTATGTCGTACCAGCTCAGTGGAACGTTACTAAGAGCTGCCTGCAATGCGCGACGTTTTATATTAAGTATATGAAATACCCTTATATTTTGTCTTAGCCACGATACCATTATTGTAATGTTTTTGAGTAAATACGTTAATCTAGTTAAAGTCCTTTCTTGTTGATGAAATGTAGTTGGTTAATATTATAAGCTTTCGCCTTACGTATTTAGTACACTACTACTTACCTAATTTTTTCAATAAAAAGCAATATATTTTATTAAACAGGGTCGACACGGTTAATCTATTTGATTAGTTCAAGGTTATAGGTACGTGTTTCGAAGGGAGGACAACCCAATTGAAGTAGGTCAAAAGTATTAAACTGAATTAGATTTATGTTTCATGTATTCAAGCGGAAACGTACGCCGAACACTGCCGCAAAACAATTCCTTTAAAATCTCTGGTTGCTGTTCAATGTTTTCAGCAGTTACCGCTTTCAGCTGGCGTTTTTTATAAAACTGACTCGATTAGAAAGCCATTAGGGAAATCGGACAGACATTGTGAGCTGTTTTGATTAACACGGTAATTATGTGTATATTTCGGTAGAAGTTTGTAATTACTCGTAAAAACTATTTCCTTATTAGAGCGAATGTATGCTGTTGGTTCAGAATTGTTGTTCATACCGACCAGAGGACTAAGACGCGCGATTAGAATTCTGCGGCAATCAAACAAATCAATGCTTAGTGTTTTGTGTTCAATTCCACTGCTGTTAAGCATTGCTCAGAATTGCTCTGGCTGGCTACCAGCATGAAACGAAATACGTCTATAACCCGTTCCGAATTTAGACAATCTCATCACAAGTCCTTATATTTAGGGGGTAAACGCATTACTGCTGCACCATAATGAGGAAGCCGTGCCCGACGTCTATTAAAGTATTGTATATACCGTAGAAAGTTCTAAATGAATTCCCATTCATCTATGTAGCCACAACCTACGACATTTGCTAGTGCTTTGCTGTTTTATATAAATAGTTTTTGTGCGCCTTGCTTTAGAACTAACAGTTGTTCTTGTGAATACGTAGCTTTTATAATTATCTATATTATAAGCGTGATAAGCATCTCATTATAATTTGGTAAAATGATTAATGGGAATGAAACAGCAACTAGCATTAAGCGGTTCCAAAACGATATCGTCTCTATTGGGCAAGATAAAAACCGTCACAACTCGCTTAAGTCAGTCGTGCGGCTTCTGTTTGAGCCAGACTAAACTACTAGATATGACCTCCGTCCCTAAAAGTACTTCGGTACACGGTTCTTAACGTGTGCAGTCAGACATCTAAGTTAATGTGCTGACGTTTAACATTTACAAATTGAGATGTAGGAGTTTGCTGGTCTCGCTTAATGTGCCCTTTTAGAGAATGCACCCAGTAATGTGTTAGAGTCATACGCAAAAGATACTGGAAAAGAGCCGCAGTTGTTACTTGAACTTGTTACATTTTTCAAATAGTCATTCGTGTGAAGAAAAAATATACCATCATATCGTTTGGTGTGGCTAGCGACTCTTGTAGTAGTAATCACACATAAATAGAATTGCAGAATTACACGACTCACGGTCTGAAGGGCCATGTATGGCCTAATAAAAAATGACACTGTTATAGGACGAGAAATCGTTTAAAACGCTGCACTTGGACATCTCTATTACTAAACGTATTGTGTCTCATTTCCACTTGATGAATTATTTTTGCATCTATGTCCACGAGCTCTTGACTTAGTTTCCTTTAAATTTATTCCAAAATACCTACTTCCAGGTACGGCAAAGAGGAAATGATCGCTATTTACGAGCAGTCATTGTATGGCGACTATTCGCCACCGCCTACAATGCCTCCTGGAAATAATAAGCCTAATTTCGAAGGCGTCTGGGTGGATCGCGGCCAGACACCGCGTTCATTAACGGCAATGTCTGATGAGGAGCAACGTTTGTGGGCATTTCACCGTTTACCCCATTCTACGACTCGGGGCAGGGGTCGAGGCTTCGGCTCTGTCGGCGGCGGTGCCGGAAGCTCGTCATCGACGACCGGCGGTTGGACGTTGTCGGGTCAGGGTAGTAGCGGACATGGGCAGCAATCCATAACGCGAAACTGGCGCTCGACAAGTAGCACGAGCCAGCAATATGCATCCGATCGCGGGGGGCCGATGCGGGATCGAAGTGGTTCCGGTGCGACGCAGGGAAGTCAAAGTGTCTACAACAGCGGGGGCAGTAGTAGTGGAAGCAATAGCAGCGGGCCCTGGCGGAGGAACTCGCAAGCGTCCCAACAACAACAACAGCAGCAGCAGCAGCATCCGCAACCATCGCAACAACAACAATTGCATCACAGTCCACCTCAACAGTACCAACAGCCGGTGAATAACAAAGACCCACATCAAATAAGTGAAGGCGGCAGCCATAGTAACAACACAGGAAGCGGCGACAGCTTAAATACTAGTAACGGAAACAATTCAAATAGTCACAAAAGTAACAGCGGCAATGCTAACAGCTGCAGCACCAGCAAGAACAAAAACAACAGCAGCAATAATGACAGCGATGATAGTAAGGTACTTCTTCTACTTCTACTGCCTTTACGTCTACTACTGCGAAAGATAACTACTTGATTGAATTAGTAAACACTAGAGGGCTGGTCTGTTTATTTGCCTTTTGTTCATACACTAAATGAAACTTCGATTACGAGCTCAGCTAACGAATTGACTTAGCGAAGACAATGATTGCCAAAATATTTATGGACGGATTGACCTTTATTTTGTAATACGTCCCTTAGCCTGTAACGCAGCGATTGTCCATATATACTGTAATATATTTTCGTTCTGTATAATCATCGTTTAATTTTCATGATCTGCTTTTTCAGGTTCCGGAATGGGCGGACGATACTTTAGCAGGTTCAGATAGTGTTGACGCAACAGACCAAGTAGGGTCATTTGATGAACGAGGTGGTTTCCTTGGTGGACCTCAATCGCATGTTAATAGCGGATCGCCGTTACTCAATTCAGTTTCGTCCGGCTCCGTCAGGAGTATTCATCATCCCAGTATAAGTCCAAACGCGAGTCGTCAGGGGCCACAACAACTTCAACGTTCATTGTCTAACGTCGAGGTTAGAGGCTCGCGTACATTCAGTAGGGAATTGTCAGCAGTGGTACGTTCTTTAATATAGTTTGTAGAAATGCCGTAATGCATCATTGTAAATAATAAAACGCAAAAATACCCGCTTGTACTTGCTCGAATTTATGAAGCCCTATTTTTGGCATGTTCCAAAACCAATAATATATTTCACTTTTTTTTTTTTATTTTATGGGAGTATTTTATGGGAGACGCTTTAGGGTCTTGAAACAAAAAAAAGTGATGCATTGATCCTCTCAGCGATAAGTGTCCTCGAGCAATCTCTATTACGACTTTCAATGCTGACTGACTTGTGGAACGGTTCCATTAGCCACTAGTTTAACCTTTATGGTTCAACCATTGATTCTTTGCGATAATGTGATGAAAGTTTCTTCACGTCTTTATCTACGGTTGTATTTATTAGCTCTCACCAGTTGTGAACACGTGCGATAAGTAAAGGCTTACAAAACATGCTCATGCTATAGAAAGGGCTCATCCGTGTCTCTGAATAAATAATTCGTTACTAAGAGTTTGTATGTTCTTGGCATTATTTTCTTTATAGGGTGGTTATTCGTCGAAGGTAGAGTCATTTTCACGTGAGTCCACTGTTCCTGCTGTTATAAGGGTCCCTTCAGATAGAGGACTTGATGCGAATACCCCGGTAACAAGTTCATCAGGCTCGAGCCACGCGTCGCCCCCTCAGCCACAAGCCATCGACGACAATAGCCAGGTAAAACACAATAATATTCTTTCAGTTCTGAGGCGTGTATCTTCCGGGCTTATTAACGTTCTATTGCGAACAACAATGTAGTATTTTGCTGCTAATAAGTTTAAGTTTATTTTCATTCAGCAGCTGTCAAGACCATCCGCTTTCTAAAAAAAATATCTTCGCTCTTGCTTTGTTAACCGGTTATTTAAGAGTTCCTATTATCACGAGGAGTTTGTTAAACTTTATCACGTTTCTACATTGCTTGTATTTATAGGTAGTACTGTAAATACATTTCGGCTGTTATTCTTACACTAATCCTTTACTGGAAACCATGATTTTTATGAAAAACAGGTTGAATAGTTTAAACACAGAGTATATATACGTACTGTGGCTCTAAAAAGATTACTTAGTAAATACCTTTCGTAATGTTACCTCTTTAGAAAAAAACGTGTTATCAAGAAGTATGGCTTAAGTTATTTTGGGTGCTTATAGGCCTTACGTTATTTATATGCTATTATATATTTATATGCTATGTATATTTATATGCTTATAGGCCTTATTTTCAATAATATAAACATTACGAGTGCTACAATCATATCTATTTTAAAGTCAACAAACTACATGTGGGCGACACTTTGTCTTCAAGTTTAAATATAATGAAATCTGCAAAAGTACCTTGGGTTGAGCCCCAATCACAATTAGTTATTTCCTTTAATGCGCCAATTTTTATTTTTTTACTTTAACCCGTGCCCTACAAGCGCGCAAAAATGTCGCTAATCTGTTTCTGTTTTCTAATCTGTTTTTACCAAGCCTCGGATATCATATGCTTTGAAGCATCAAGCAGAATTAAATTTTCACAAGTTCCGCCCAAATGTAAGCCAGACAATTGTACTTTAGTTTACTTCAAAGTGTCTTTTTTTAACCGACCTCAATGATTCATTTTGCGATGTCAAATTATCCCAAATGCCAAATAGACGCAGTAGTTTTACGCATTCTAACTATTGTTAAATTATTGCCATATACATTTGAGACACACCAGCAATGCAATACGCGCATTAATTTAAACTATTTGTGTGTGCATAATGGTCATGTGCGTTGTGTATGAGACAGCTTCTTATCACCTTGCCATCCTTTGAACTTAATCGTCATTATCTTTCCAGGATTACATTCCTGTGTTTGTACTCATGCGGCTGTTTACAGTTCATTACCGTTGTTATAGCTTATATACCCATATTGATTGGTGTAGTTATGTGCGGTATGCTGATGATTGGGCTGGCTTGTTGATTTGTGCTTGTTTTTTGCCCTGTGGTGATCTGTTGCAGCCTACTCTAGCTGCTTCAATGGTCGCCAGTAGTCACTGCAGTGATAGGGACAGTTCCATTTTCCCCGATGCTACTGCAGGTACGCCAACGACTGCCCACTGGCATTCCCACTGTCCACAAATCATGCCTCAACCTCAACAACAAACCCCCCCTCGAGTAAGTTCCCTGTCCTGTATTGCAAGACAAACGAAAGCTAGCGCTGTTATTTTACAGTATAATCACACTATTATCACAACAAATACTACTAACAGACAAACGGAAATAACGAGAGAACAAGAAATTAAACAAGATGCAAACGCATAGTTGCCAAAACAAGGTAAGGCGCTTTCATCCCACATTACAGTCCCGCTCAAACCGTTTAAATAAGTACGTCTGATATAGAAACAGGTTTCTTTAACATGATCCGACAAACGGTCCGCTTGCTATGTGTTGTAATATTAAGTAGCTGTTGTTTTGTCAAGTTACTGATGCGCTTTAATGCGATTTGTTTCCGGTTGTGTTTGTTTCTTTTACTTTCGATAGGTCGACCCCGTAGTTCAATTGTCTCCATCTGTAATTGGCAACGTTGGTCAGTCTAATGGCATATGCGATTGTAACGGACAACCTTCACCTGCAGGATGCCCAGTAAGCTGTGCTGACACTATGCTGTGTAGTACTACTTCTGTAAACCCAGCTGCAAACGATATGTGGTACTACAAAGATCCACAGGGTGTTATTCAAGGGCCGTTCACAAGTGTTGATATGGTTGACTGGTGTAGACAGGGCTATTTCCACGACGGGCTCGAATGCAGGCGAGCCTGTGACAGTATTTTCAGCCCGCTTGGTTTAATGAAAAAGGTAATCATTCGCTTTTAGTTCAGAATACGACTAAGTTTGGACTAGTTCATATATGTAACCTAATCTTAACATATTCAAGCATATTATGAATCTGACTTCACTTGATGTTGTTAGATGGGAGTGCTAAAAATGAAGAAAAATCTTACTAATAAAAAAGCGTTAGCAACATTATTTTCAATAAAATTATTATTTTTATGCAATATATGTACCCGCATTTTCACTTGTACGTAAGCTTTCGGTTGGAAACAATCAACTCTGACGTTTACTGTTTTAGGCATGGAATGGGCATATTCCGTTTATGGCGTCAACATTTCTGCCGCCTATAACCAGCCCATTGTTTGGGCCTCCCATTCCGACTTCGGTTCATAATAACCAACAGCACATGCACAGGTACGTAGAAAAGATTGTTGTTATGTTTAGTTTACTTATTACCACCACTATCTACATATTATTTTAAGTGCTATGGATTTTTATTAAACAAATAACGAAACGTCCATGTTACTATATCATCTTCTTTGAACGAAAAAGCCACACTTTACTCTATTACATTGCTGCTTTTGCTTTCGATGTTGTTATGTATAATTCAAAATTGTTACTTTCTACTAATTGTTTACCGGGTTTGCCTGTGGGATAAATTACAGTGTATTCGGAGGAACTAACACGCCGATGGGTGGAAGTGTTGGCGGTAACACTATAGGTGCTTTTTTTTCCGGGGTTCCAAATGCCACCCACGTGCTATTGTCCCCGCACGCACACGGGGGTCATATGGGAGCCGCTCTTTCGCCTAGAAGCGTTGGACTCAACACCCTTGACCAACAACAAATCGTTACCCCAAATGGAATCATGACACAACAGCAACAGCTGCCTCATTCCGAGGCACAACTTCATCATCAGGGTACTTCACAGCTGCAGCAACTGTTTGGATCGGTGCGAAGTTCCGATGTTGTCAGTCTCAACGAGCGGCACGCAAATATGCTAACGGCTTCCGTAACTACTGCAGCATCTGGTTTGCCAAGTGGCATGCCACCTCAGCTTAGTACTCACAGCCAGAGTCAAACGGGATGTGACCGACTTCTACCAGTTGGAAACGTAGGCGGTGTTGTGTCCGCTGGCAGCCATTCCTCTTCGCTGATGTCTTCACCCACGAGAAATGTTTCGAGTGGAAAGATGGTGTTGTCACCTGTGACAGACGCGATCCAACGAAACATTCACGACCCGCACAAATCTAATAATAATTGTCATGGTAAGTAAAGTAGAAAACTAAAGTGGCCATTTGTTTATTTGCCAGAAGAGTTAAACACCTGGTATTAAAGACCCAAATACAGGGTTGTTACTAGAAAAATGAAATAACGGATGTTGATTATGCGCTTCCTTTAAATTGCGTTTTCATACTAAAATATTCTAAGTTGAATTACTGTAGGATGTCAAATATCCTAGCTAATTTTTCGCCCTATAGGTATTTCACTGGGCTTGATTATATACATCGATTGTACAATCATGCGAAATTTGGCTTCAGATAACGACTCTTAGACTTTACGTCGGTGAAGTCCATATAGATTGCCGCACCAGTTGAATGGTAGTATGTGAGAAAGTACAGAAATCACCCATTAGCATAGTGCAAACCTTGAAAGATTTCATCGCGCAGTACAATTGCACTGACTCATCCTGGTTCACGTTCCCGTCTTGACCATGTAAACTTGGTAAACCAACTTGCCCCATATTTGCGATATTGTTTTTACTCTTTTCAGGCTAGCAGCAGAAACGCATAAATTGGCACCAGTTAACTCAGTCAACGAATCAGAACGAGAGTCTGTAGAACATTATCCACTTAGTAAAATAAAATAGACTTCACTTTTCACTTTGTTTCCACTTGTAGCCGTATGTCTATGAATAGTTCGACGGAGCAGACGTAACTACTTTGTGTATTGTACCGTAACGACCGATCATTTCTAAACATCTTTAAAAAAAACGAAAATATCGATTGGTGTTTTTGTGATTTGTCTCTGTTGTTGTTTACGCAGAGGAATTGATAACAACTCCTGCGGGAAACGCGCTACTGGGGAGCGGCGATGATGTTTGTGATCCTGCAGCGATTAGTGGCCACGTATTACATTCAGCCGTAGGCGATAACAACAATGGGATTAGTCTGAATAGCTCATCGTTGGCGAAAGACTTGTTATTATCGAGTTCTGGTTCAGTAACTACGTCAGCGTGGTATTCATCAGATAGTCATTCTCAGGTCGCGCCAGCTCAACAGCGTTCATCACTTTTAAACGCTATCAACGAAAATCTACAAATTACACGGCTACAGGCCGCAAGTGACGTGGTACGACAACACGTTCAAGAGAAAAACGAACGGAATATGGCCAGTGATCATTCACCATTATCAGTTAGCCGCCAATCACTGCCATCAGGTGAGCAACTTCAGCAATCGGCAGCGACACCCCTACTGAACGACACGAAAAAGAACGTCAGCGGCGTTTCTAATTTGACGGTTACCACCGGAGGGGGTGCAGGCAGCAATGCGACGACAGCCGGTAATAAGAGAAAGAAGGAGCGGCGGGACAAAAAAGCGACGGTTCCTGTTGCCGCTACGGCCATAAACGACAGAGAGAAAGCAGGTAACACACAAACAGTATCGACGAGCAGTAACAACAAAAACACCAGGAATCGAACTGGAGGTGATGATGGTACTCAACGAGGCACTGTGGCCAGCAAGGAAAGCAAAAAGCAGCAGCAACAACAACAGCTCAAAGATCAGCAAGATTCTCCATTGTTAGATTGGAATGATGATTATCGGGGTGGGGTAAGACTTTGCTTTTTTGAGCTTTGGTTTTATAGAAACAAACGTTTTATAGCCAGAAATAACCATTGTATTGTTGCTGTCAGCACCAATGATCATAAGATGTCTAGCAATTTAAACGTTGGAGCCGTTTTTAGATTGAGTTGGTAATCACTTCAAATCAGACATTTGAAATAGTTAACTTTATTTTGTATTATTTACCCTTTTGTTCTTTTAGTTGAAACGCGGGAAAATCTCGCGTGTGAGCAGGGTTTTGCTATCCCATAGCTGTTTTCTGTCGTTTTTTCTTACGTTCCTTCGAATTCATTGTTGCTGTTGTAGGATCACGAGCGGGAATCTGAATTGATAGTACCCGCGCCAGCGCCTGCAGTGCCTGCCTGGGGCGCTCGGGCCGAATGGGCAGCCGATAGGTGTGCTCCAACGCCAAGTTTAGGCGAGATTCAACGCGCCGAGGAAGAACGAGCACAACATGAACGCGCGCAGCGTCAACGAGAGGCTGCTCGAAGCGGTTGCACAACAGTTGGTGCCCGGACCTGGGCCAGTGCTATAGCCCCGACGAAGTCGTTCGAACAGATTCAAAAAGAAGAGGCTTCGCGAGTGATACCCAATCATGTTTCGGCAATAAAATCGCCCCAGTCAAGCAGGACAACGCAGTCGACGCTCATATCAACTGCCGTAGCAAACGGTCTCGTATCATCCCACCAGGCCAGCAAAGTTGCAATATGTTTTCAACAGCAACAAACTCCACTTAAATCGAATTCCGCGTCACCAGTGGCGCCTGTGCCTAGAACTTCCCCGCAAACTGCAATTAAGTCACCGCCAGTTTCTGAGGTCGCATCAAATGAACAACAACTGATCGATTGGTGTACCCAAATAACTATGGGCACTAACTCGAAAACGTATCTAGACATACCAACAGTAAGTTTCGGTGTTACTGGCCTATCGCAACAATAAAGACACTTAGGAATTAAGCGTGTAGTGATCGAAATACCACTTTCTTTTTTAGTTTAATAAAGTTTGATTTTCTAGTCTTCGTGCTTACCACATCGTCTAAACACCACTGATTGTTACTTGGCATTTTCTTAAACAATAAGGGTCTCTTACGAATTACTAAAAAGCACTGTCTACTACTTGTATAAACTTAATAGCACCATTTGAGGGAAATAGTATATTGAAAATGTATCGTTAAAATCACAATATTATCATTATGTCGTCTCTGTTTCCCTACGACAACCTAAATATATCACCTCCTTACTAATTTTATCATGCTGTATGCTTTTGTGTGTCCTAGGTGGTATCAATCCTCAAGGATGTCGAATCCGAAGCCGAGATTGAGGACTACGTATCGCAGTTCTTTGGCAATAGCTTAAAGGAACCGCGCCAGTTCGCGCGACAGTTTGTGCAGAAACGAGCGCGTCTTGGTGTTGGCGCCGCATCTACGCAGCCTCGACAGCCAGGATGGTGTACGAACAGTAAGAAGAACCGAAACAGCAACGGTGCCCACAACACCAACAACAATAACAAGACAAACATCAAGAAAGTCTGATGAAGCACACAAGGGGGACAGGATGGTGTAGCGGGAGAAATGTATAATAAGAAGACAACGGCACTAACAATCAGTGTGATACATTCTCTCTCTCTGTCTCTGTATTTGTCCGTGATTTTTGAAAAACTACGTGATTTTTGCATTGAGATTGATTTTGTGCTGCAATCGTTTGGGATATGCTCCCTTTCCTTATAGGCGTCAGATGTAGTACAGGGCGGACTAGGCAAGGTTAGGCTATTTCATGGAGTGTAACCGGCCGATAACCACCTGTTCAGCACACAGACGCCCTATCTTTCTCGTTCCATCTTCGATGACACTGACCCTTTTTCTATTCTCACTTTAATATCAAGAAAAGCTTTTCACCCTCCGCTCGAAGTCGCCGTACAACAGCGTCAGGCCGCTAGACGAAAGTCCGGGATGCAATCTCAGAAAATAAAAAACATTATTAACAGGAATACACGGTCAGATCCTGATACTGACAGTCATGACGAAAGGAGTAGCACGTAGGAACGACGATTACTACATATTTATTTATACTGTAAATATTATTATTATTAAGCCCATATAACTACTTCAAGAAATGGCAAGCATGGATGGCAAAAGCTAGGGGTTGACGAAGGGGGTAAGTTATAGTGCATATATATATATATATATATATATATATATATATATATATATATATATATATATATTTCCGGTTTCCGGTGAACACAACAAATAGAGGAGTCTGTTAGTCTACAGCATCTGAGATGACCCATCCTTGCTTTTCCGTCTGGAAAAACGCGTTATTTATCGTTCTGTTAATTACTAGCCATTAGTGGTGAGGCGACCCGCTACTATTTTTGCTATTATCTAAACTGAAATATTGCTATGCGTTTCTTCTCCAAATGCTATACCCACTGCGCACTTTCGGGCCCACTTCAAAAAAGATTGAAAGGCTGAGGTACAACGAAATGCGAGGCGTGTATGCAGAGTGTTAGAACGCGGATGAAACTGAGTAAATGTAAATGGTAAACGATGTTGACATAAGAAAGTGCCTTGGAGTCCCATGGTATAAGGCCGAAGACAAATTCTCGGTTTGAAGCAAGTAGCGGAGATAGCTGATAGCTAAAATTGATCAGATATAGGTGATAGTAAACGAAAATACCAAAGGTGCGCTGCTAGTAATTCTAAGGGCATTTAGTACGATTTTTACTGAGATAATAATGATGAATTATTAACGGCGCTGTTGTTTTATTCGGCTGTGACTGCGTCATCAGACCTTTTCTAGCGCATAAGCTTGAGCTTACCGTCGCATATGTAATATTTGTCACCCTATAATACGACCGTTTATTAAAGAGTATAAAGGAACACCTGCGAATGATTACCATCAAAGAAGAAAAATGTACAGCGCCATTGCGTCCCACTATATTTTAACACTAGACGAAAGACACAACCTGGCCAACGACAATTAAGCTTCTAAGATCGCTATAGAAGATGTGTCATTGTAATAATACGCAGTGAAATTTAGCAACGATGTGAAATGGAAAAAATACCAAACGCTTAAGTCTAATAAGTAAATGATATA